CGGCTGCGCAGAATTAGAAAGCGGCCAAGAAGAACTGAAGAGGACTTTCTGCGTGATGTCATGACGCACTCTGCGGCCGAGACACAGTAATTGAAAGAGCAGCAGGACAGCGAGAAGGACCGAAGGGAGAATGCAGCCCGCCAGAATGAAGCCACGGAGCAGCTCTTACAAGTTATGAAACACCAAGTAGACACGCTCCAGGCGATTCTAGCACTGCAAACCAAGCAGCTCCATGCCCGCCTTCCCCTGCAGCCGCTGTTGCGAAACTTTCCCATGCTCCCCCCCAGCCACTGCCAACACACTCTTAACCTCCTGGCTCCAGTCTGTACCCACATCATTCCATTCCTCCCCCGTAGTCCAGCACTGTGGATTCTCAGTACCCACTGCACTCACCACCCATTTCTCTGCAGTTTGGCCCTGCTGACAGTACCTGCTGCATTGTACTCCAAAGGAGAAGGTTGGATATGATCCCGGAACATGCACAAATCTTTAGCCATCCTAGGACCCCTCCTCCTCCTGGGACCTTCCCTTCCCTCATCCCCCTCAGTGCTGATATGGTTTTTTTGTTTGACTCTCTCCTCTGGAGGTTGTTTTTTTAATAAAACAGTTGTGTTGCTTTAAAATCACTCTTTATTCTATTAATTGAAAGCCAGCAGAGCCCTGCAAAGCAGCAGACGGTTATGTTAAACCTTCATATTGCATCGTCTGCACTAATCACAATCACCTCCTAGCACTACAAGCACTGCACTTCAGCACATAGCAACAAATATTCGTGTCCTTCAACTTCAAATTGCTGCCTCAAGGCACCCCTGATCCTTATGCCCCCACGCTGCATCCCTCTAATAGCCCTGGTCTCTGGCTGTTCAAACTCAGCCTCCAGCTGTTGAGCCTCAGCGGTCCAGCCCTGAGTGAAGCTTTTACCCTTCCCTTCACAAATATTATGGAGCATACAGCACACGGCTATAAGCATTGGAATATTGTCATTGGCCAGGTCCAGCTTCCCACAGAGGTAGCACCGGCAGGCCTTTAAATGGGCAAATGCACACTCAATAGTCATTCTGCACTTGCTCAGCCTGTTGAACCGCTCCTTGCTGCTGTCAAGTTGCCTCATGTGTGGCTTCATAAGTCATGGCATTAAGGGGTAGGTGGGATCGCCCAGGATCACAATAGGCATTTCAACTTCCTCTATGATCTTCTGGTCCAGGAAGCTTCCTGAACGGGCCAGTGTTCCGAAAGATGCAGTGTTCCGAAAGATGCACCTTTCCAGACCAGCCTGCGTTAATGTCTGTGAAAAGCCCACAAATGATCCACAAGCACCTGGAGAACCATTGAGAAATACCGCTTCTGATTAACGTACTCGGTGGCTAGGTGGTCTGGTACCAGAATTAGAAGATGGGTGCCATCTATCGCCCCTCCACAGTTAGGGAACCCCACTTGTGCGAAGCCATCCACAATGTCACACATGTTGCCCAGAGTCACAGTCTTTCGGAGCAGGATGCGATTAACGGCCCTGCACACTTCCATCAACATGAGTCCAACGGTCGACTTTCCCCATTCCGAACTGGTTAGCAACCAATCAGTAGCAGTCTGGAGTAGCCAGCTTCCACAGTCTAATTGCCACACGCTTCTCCAACAGCAGGGCAGCTCTCATTCTCATGTCCTTGTACCACGGGGTTGGGGCAAGCTCATCACACAGTCCCAGGAATGTGGCTTTCCTCATCCGAAAGTTCTGCAGCCACTGCTCATCATCCCAGACATGCAACACGATGTGATCCCACCACTCAGTGCTTGTGTCCCAAGTCCAAAAGCAGCGTTCCACTCTGGTCAGCACCTCCGTGAATGCCACAAGCAATCTCGTGTCGTAGCTATTATGTGTGGTGAGTTCAACACCACACTCCTCTTGACTTTGTACAGTAGTATAAGGAATAACTCTACTGCCACTTGTGACATGTTGCTCAGAGCGAGCAGCATACTGGTCAACAGTTCGGGATCCTTTCCTGCAGACCGAAGAGTGCAGTACACTCTTTGTGTACTCTTTGCAGTACACAAACCATTGAAAGATGGTGCCAAATGCAGGTGGACACAGGGATTGCTGGGATGCGAAGCAATGCATCATGGGGCATTGGGACAGGACCCAGGATGCCCCATGACCCCCTCTGTCTTCCCACAACTCTTAGTGGCAGAAGAGGAAGAGATACTCTGTGGGATAGCTGCCCAGAGTGCACCGCTGCGAATATCGCTGCAAGTGCGAACACACTATTGTGCAGGCACCCGATGAAGGGAAACCGCTGTTGTGGGTTCACACTACCGCTCTCTGAGCAGCGCTGTAACTCCCGGCACTGTAACTCTGCCAGTGTAGACATGCCCTAAGATTTCAGCCTACTTCTGACAACACCCCAGACACATCCCAACCTGGTGTTAGAACAATTAGTATCACAGAGGGTCCAAGTCTCCTAGTTGCCATGGACAACATTCCTCACCGGTTATCATGGAACACTGCTGACACACTTGGAAGGTCTAGTGTCAGCTGCAGCACAAATCAGTCCTCAAATGGTTGTTATGGACAACTGCATATTTACATGCAGAGCTCTCCTTTAAAGGTGCTCCACAAGGCTCTTTCGATCCTGCTGTTCAATGTCTATTAAAGCCACCAGAAGAGATGATGGACCCAAACCCATTAACAAGCCAACACTACTCAGCTCCGCATCTTCTTTATGGCAAATGCAGCTAGTACCATTTGCCAACAGTCCCAGTACCTACGTGAGAACAGTGCCTGGACTAAAAGTAGATGAATGAAGGTAAGTCTAGGTAACAAAACCAAGTTAGTGGAAGAGAAAAATATGGAGAAATTAATCAACACCATTGCTTCGATAGATGGAGATGTAATCAGTTCTCTGACTGTCAAGATGCTATGCAAATTAGGGGTCCTCTGAACTCCTCACTGTACCTGGGTACCATCTCTAGCAGTGGTTTCCCCACATGCACACTCTCCTAAGGTTGACTATCCTCCTTATGGATGAATTACCCAGCCATGCTGATCCATGAGTTCATCACCTACAGACTGGATCACCAGAACAGGAAGTTAAAGCAAGGTCCCTAAAAAAATTTCCAGCATGTTGAGAAGGAGTGGATTGCAGCACTCTGCGTTGCTTTGTAGGCAAACATATCATCATGATACCTCTATGAAACCAAGCTTGTTACATTTGATAATGGAAAAATCTTTTTGACATAAATTTCCCCATAATAAAAATAATACCCAGATTAGACAGAAAATGTAAGAAAATCAGCAGAGAGGGTATGTTCTGTCTAATACTTATTTGCAGAAATGGGGAGAGAACCAATGATCTAGTACCTGTAGTTTGTTTTTTTGAAAAAAAAAAAAAAATTCAGATATCATGGGGATTGTCCATTACAGATTTAGTCCTCCACAATTATGCAAGACTTAAATAAATACTTTTCAGCCATAGGAAGGCTGCATTCTGTTGCCTTAATTTTCAGAAAGTGCTGAGTACAACCTCTGGGAAGAAAAAAAAAAAATAGCCAAGCCAAGCTCTTTTAAGGTCTCAGTTTGGGTGCCCACAAATCACTGACCTCTTTTTTGATAATCTCAGCCATATATATGTGCCGAACAACAAGTTAAAGCCTGAAAACCTGCAAAGCCCTAAGAAACCTAAGCTACATTGACTGGAAAAAGCTCCTCTATAAAGGTCTACATTTATAGAATATAGACATCATACAAAGAGACCTTTATATCTGATGCCTGTATCGCATACTTGACTCCTGCTCGATGACATAAATCTATCCTTTCACTAGTCTTCTAGCTGGGGCTTCAAATCTGCCTTAGTGCCTACAAAAGAAGGAAGAAAGGAAGGAAGTAGTAAACCAGGAAGGAAAGATAAAAAGCAAAGAAATAACAGACTAAATGTAAAACAGCAGCACAACTGAAGAAAATTCTCAAGGAGAACTGAGAAGAGACATATACAAGTCAGCCACCATTTTACACAACAGGCCAGTCTCACTCTGTCTCATTCTGCCTACTTCAGCAGAAACAGTGGATTGGCTCTGCAGAGGATTTCCCATAATTTGTGGGGGTTGCCAGAAGGCAAAGAACCCTGAAGTGGGGGCATGGCCAAAGGAGAAGGGGTATGGCCTTTGCATTCCACCACTTCCTGACTGGTATAATGGCTGCATGGGGACCATTACCAGTCTGCAAAATGCTGAGCAGTCCTAAAGCTGCTCTAAATTGAGCCTCAACTGGACAAGTGCCCATAGGTCTCCGAACTGGGAAATCTCAAGTAAGGGTGACTTAAAGCCCCATACTTCTGAACTGTACTGGACCACAGAAGAGACCTGGGCCCTCATGTGATTTAAAAACCATCAAGAAAGGACTTCAATTTTTTATTTTCTACAGGAGTATAACCTTTTGTTTCCCCATCATTTTCTATTTTATGTGCATGTTAACACAATCTGTTTTGTTTTAAAAATTTTTAAAACAATTATTTAAGGGAGTTTATCATCATATTATCCAAATTCATTTTAAAATACCATACTAAACTTAAGGCTGTGTCCTGATATTCCTGGAAGAACTGCATTCCCATGTTGAGACTTCTGGCAACAATGCTACAAAGCTGTGATTCACTATAATTGTAAGCATGAATTTTTGGAATGTATCTATATTCAGGTCCATTTCTACTTAAAGTAAAACCCAAATCATCTGCCACAGCAAATTTGGAAATTAATAATCTAATATTAACAACTTCAGTGTTTATGTTGTGGCTAATAGTCAAAAAATGAAGATTAAGCATATACATGAAAATAAATACTGAGTGAAACTTAACTTTGACTGTTTATTTTAATCAGATGATGACCAGTTAGGACATTTGCAATCTGAATGAAACTAACCAGAACAGAAAATGGAAACTGAGCAACATCTTATTGGCTGTGACTTTTAAACAGTACTCATGCTGTTTATAACACATAGAAACACACAAAACACTTACCTGATTAATAGCAAAAAAAATGCTGTCATAAACATCCTGCTGTGTGTATACACTGCAACTATAATCATCTTCATCAACTCCTGAGTAGCCTTTCAGAAACAGATGCTTAAAGGCAATAGTGTTCTCCTCTTTGAAGGAAACCACCAGCTGGTTACTCAAACCAAAAAGAATAAGCTAAAACAAATTAAAAATTCAAGTCAGAATACAATGCCATCATTAACATACTAATGATAGTAACAGCGATTAACATCTTCAAGTTATAATCAGCACAAATTGGAAAGTAAGAAGTTTCTGTATTGTGTCAGTACCAGACTCCTTTAAAAATAAATAAATAAAAAAAAAAAAAGTTAACATTACAATTAGGGCTGTTGCGTGATTAAAAAAAACTGTGCAATTAATGGCACTGTTAAACAATAATTGAATAGCATTTATTTACATATTTTTGGATTTTTCCACATTTTCAAATATACTGATTTCAATTACAACACAGAATACAAAGTGTACAGTGCTCACTTTATATTTATTTTTGATTACAAGTATTCGCACTGTAAAAAAATGGATTTTTCAATGCACTACTGTACTTGTATGAGGTGAAATGTCTTTGTCATGAAAGTTGAACTTACAAATGTATAATTATGTACCAAAAAAACTGCATTAAAAATAAAACAATGTAAAATCCTAGAGCCTGCAAGTCCACTCAGTCCTACTTCTTGTTTAGCTAATCGCTCAGACAAACAAGTTTGTTTACATTTGCAGGAGATAATGTAGATATAGAAGAGGGCAGCATTATTTCCTGTAAATGTAAACAGACTTGTTTGTCTGAGCGATTGGCTGAACAAGAAGTAGGACTGAGTGGACATGTAGGCTCTGAAGTTTTACATAGTTTTGTTTTTGAGTGCAGTTATGTAACAACAACAACCTACATTTGTAAGTTGAACTTTCATGACAAAGAGATTGCACTACAGTACTTGTATGAGGTGAACTGAAAAATACTATTTCTTTTATTTATCATTTTTACAGTGCAATAATAATTTGTAATAAAAAAGTATATACACTTTGATTTCAATTACAACACAGAATAAAATATACATGAAAATGTAGGAAAACATACAAATAAATTTCTATTGGCATTCTATTGTTTAACAGTGCAATTAATCACGATTAATTAATAGCAGTTAACTCACATGATAAATCAAAAAAATTGACAGCCCTAATTACAATACAAGATCACAAAAGAATAGTAAAGGGTCTCTTTTGCCAAAGCCTGGAAAACAAAATCCCACTTTGCATAAGCTGATGCAAGCTGAAAACAAGGGAATGAAAAATACCGTTTACTTCAGTGACAGGCATGCCATGAAATACCAAAAAACTCTTACTACTTTATTTTGGAGCTTAGCCACTTAGTGCATAATCATTATCAAGTACAGCCCAGGAGATGCATTTTCACTTCTTTTAACTACGTGCACAGTAATTTTATTCATAGTGCAAGTGTTTGAAACTATTTGAATCAGCAAAGCTACGTTTTCTGTGGAAAATCCAAAATCCATTCACCTCATGGCCTCTCTGAGTAGGAGAAAAGTCATTCAAATCTGAGAAATCACTCTGAATTTGAAGAGCTTTGATGATTAAAAGTACAGTTATAGTGAACCAAGTTGACTACAAACAACATAACGTGGTTTAAACTTTATCACACAAACACTTCCTTATGAAGTCTACTTAGTTTTTTTCTAACTCACTTTGAGATCGGAATGTCAAACTGTGTTCTGTCACTTACATCACCAGTAATAAGGTTTCTGTAATTAGAATTTAGCTGACAGTTTTTGTTGATGATGCAGGAGACAGAATAGAATCCAGTCCACTAACCCATAGCAATGCAGAACCTTTATAGATAACAGGATTTTTAAAAAATTGTTTTAGTCTGTAATGTAAGAAGATAAGAATCTGAATACACATGGGGAAAGAGCTATTGATCAAAAACTTACTATTTTTACTGAGCCAGTTTCCTATCACCACACTTTAACCCCTTTTTTTAAAATAATTTTCATAAGAAAAATGTAAGTGGTTTACTCCACATATATTTTGGTATGAAAGAAGAACAGTGTAAGGTAATTGGAATCTCACAGTGGAAGAGCAGAAAAAGGAGAGAGCAAAGGAAGGAACCCAGAGCTTGAAAAATAAACTCTCTTACTTGTTAGTAGCAAATATGAAGTGTTTGGACTCATCTTTTTCTGCATAATCTAACCTTTCACTGAAGAAAAAGAGTACTAGCCTAGCCTGAAGACAGAACTGCATTAAGGAGGCTGTCTTCCTGAGTCTGCAGACAGCTCTAGTTTGTCTGCGCTGAGCACTGCACCAGAATGAAACAAAACTATTCAGAACCCCATGGGCACCATTGAAAGTGACAAAAATGAAGTTAATTTCATAAAGGTACTCCTTGGGGAAGCTATAATTAGCAGCAGAGGCAGGTGCTGAAGTTGTTCATAGAGATTTATGTAGACTAGCAGAGATTCCCCATATCCCTTCCATAAGTCAAAGGAAAATACATAAATGGACCCTCTGAACAGAGATCCCTGTGAGATATAGAATAGAGAGATAGGAATCCTAGCACTCTCCCCAAACCCAACAGCAGGGGTGTTAGGGACCCAGTGTCCCACCAGAGCATTGTCTCTTCCTCCCTCCCTAGTTTTCATCTCAGCCTCTGATTAAAAGGTTTAGTTCTTTGGCTAGGCCATGTATAATTTTTCAAGGTCAGCAAGAAACCAACCAAACGAGGGAGGAGAGAGCGAGAGAGAGAGTGTGCAAAGAAATCCCCACTAAAAGGTAAGCAAGCCCCTATTCTTGTTCCTAGCATTAACAGTATATGAAATCTGAATTGCTGTCTGAGAGCCTCTCTTTAAATATAAAAATAAAATCTATTTATTTTTTCTCCAGTGAGTACTTTCTGGTCTCTCCTAGATGGTAACTAGTTAGCTCTGGGCTAAATGAGTACACAAAAGAATGCTATTCACAGTGAACTATTTATGTAATGTGGCAGGTTGCAGCCAGGATGACCGGAACAGGGATTCCAGGTCATCGGCGCCTGGTTATATCCACACAGCCTTTAGAACAAGTGTTGAATTCTGGCCAAAAAGTTTGCAAGGTTCTTCAGGGGATTTAGCAATTCTACTTAGATGCTCTTTGGATTGCAAAGCTGTTAACATAAGTTCTATGAATGAATTCATGGCAATGTTTAGCTAATATCAGTAAATTAGAGCCTTTCCCCGGAGTACTGCAAGAAAAAGAAAAAGGCGGTCAGTCTTGATTTGGAAAGCATGTGGAATCCTTAGGGGGCCCTAACACAACTTTGCACTAAAATATACTTCTGCAATCCAGCAGAGAAAGGACAAATTACCTTCACCTTACCATAAGGAAGAACCCACTCCAATTAACAGGTTTAACGTACTGAAACTCAGTAGTTTCTCATCAGAGTCAGACAGCTAGTGACAGGGACAATCCTGTAAGAATAAGCATGAAGTACACCAAAGTCACCCCTAAGGAGCTTGGCCTCATTCCAAAACACAAGGATGGTCATTAGGACCTGCCCATATGCCTGCTACAAGTGTGCAAGACTGTCCCCTTTAAGTAGCAATATACTTCCCTTCAGTGATTCTGTTGCTTCCTTACCCTGGCTACCCAATCAGCTGCTGAAGCTGGACCAGTAGTGACAGCCACTTACTTCACTGCACCGCTGAAAGGTGCCAAAAAAAAAAAAACGCAGGTACCTGAATTGGCTGGTGGCATCAGAAAGCAAAGCAGCACTGCATCTCTTCTGCCCCAGCAGAGTCAGGCTCAACACAGAGACCAAGCAGAGGAGAGATTGGGATAGCAAGCATGGCAATCCAGAAGTTTAATCGCCAGCACAGGCACTAATGCTTGTGGGTTAGGATAGACTTTGGGTGGTGGTGAAGGATATGGGATGGGTTAGGATGGGCTTTGAAGCAGTGTGTTGCCTCATTCCACTCATGATTAAGCCCCTGTGTATAAGAGCTAGACGGTAGTGTGATAACCTGTGTCTCCCTGACCTGGACAATGGGAAAAGGCTTTCACTAACAGCTCAGTAGAATCAAGCAAGACAATATTACCTCTTAGCTTGTGATAATATTCTGAAAGAAACCCTGATGGAATTGGTATCCTCATGACTGTGCCCATACTAGTCTTCCCCACTCTACCTCACCCAAAGCAGTCCTACCCACTGTTCCACAATTGCTAGCGGAGCTTTGCTGCTGTTGAGGAGCACTAGTGTATACAGGACTTCAGTTACCAGTGTCATTTGAGCCAGTCTTGTCTAGACAGCATAGTAGTTAGAATGCCAGCCATTGCCTGGAGCTCGGTCTACGTTTGTGCTTCCTCTGCTGCTACTCCTGCACTGATGTTCGCAATGGTGGAGATTTATATTTAAAAGGAAAAAAAAAAAAGAAAGGCTGAGATCACCCTTTCTGGCTAGATGGGGGTCTGGAGGATATTAGCCAGAGGTAATATCTGAAGGTACTGCTTGACTCCGGCAGGTCTGTTAATTTCAGACCTTGACCCATGCAGCTCAGTGTATATTTCAGCTATATATGTAATGCCACTTTGTTAAATCTCACACTTGAGATTCCTATATTTTAGGGATCAAAACAAATTGCTGATTTGACTCTGTATCCAAATTAATGCACTGTCTGTAATCCATCACTTGGGGAGAGAAAGTGGCTTAGGATTTTAACTGCCTAGTCAACAATCTGCTCTTGCCAATTAGAAGAGCATTTGCAAATACAAACCAAACATTCAGAGTTGCAGGTTACATTAATAATGCAGGCTCTGCAGTTGCTGGCTGGAACTCTGGTAACAATACCAATACATTGGCCTCAGGGGCGTTACGTGCAGTGATGAGCAGAAGGCACAAAGGGCATTGGCAGTGCTGTGGCATAAAGCCAAACAATTCAAAACCATATGATCCATAATGAGGTGCTTGATTTAGGGGAAAAAATTGTTTTGAAATCAATGTCTTTGGCAGTATCTGACCTTCTATTTCACTGTTAACCCCTCACTGAAATTGCTCCAGTTAGCACCAAGGTGGTGACCAAAGAACATTTAGGAGTTTAGTTTATATTATTGTTTCCTGCCACCACATCCACTCCTATTCCTTAAAGAGTGTTCTTTCCTCACCTCTGATCTTGATTTTTTTTCCAGGAAGGAAGTTTATATAGTTAAAGAGTAACCAATGGAAGCAACACTCCAAGACATTGATTTTCTGCTCCACCTACATGTGTTATTTTTTGTAAGAACATAAAAAAAAAAAATATTTATTACCTGTGTGGTAACCATAACTATCTTTAGTATCTGCAAACCCAGTTTCCAAGGGATTTGACGTCTGGCTCTGTATTTTTCACATGGGTTCATGAAGTAAAACTTCAAATCCTCCTTTAAAGCATCCTCTTCTAGATCTGAATCTGGTTGAGCCATCATACGTCTGCCATAAATAATATGTTAATTAGAAACCCACAGAATGTCTTGGCAGAAACTTTACATATATTACAGATTCATCTCACAGATCTCTGTTTGACTTAGATGTTTGTACAAACTGGAATGAAGTTTTTAATAGTAAAATGGAAGAGACATTGTCCTATTACAGTGTAGTTACCAATCCTATTTCATCACACTATGCTATCCCAACTGCACATCTCAACACAGCATTTAAATGACTATTCTCCAAAATACCTACCTCCACCCAATAAAATGAGTTTCTATTCACTATAAAGATTAGTAAATGGTTTTTAAAAAATTTCATTAAATATAAACATTTTGAAGTATTTTGTTTACATAAACCACAATCTTCCTTTAACCTTTAAAACCCTACAGAAAAGTACTCAGAGACTAAAGGTCTAGGCTTTGAAGCACACAGACAAAGCAGCGTGGGAACCTGCACTTTCACTTCCTGTGCATAAGTATATTTTTAGTTTACAGGCCCATCAGTTGGGCACTTTTTACAAGCACTAAATTCACTGCTGTCAAGGTTCCTTCCCCACTCTGAACTCTAGGGTACAGATGTGGGGACCTGCATGAAAACCTCCTAAGCTTACTTTTACCAGCTTAGGTCAAAACTTCCCCAAGGTACAAACTATTTTACCCTTTACCCTTGGACTTTCGCTGCCATCACCAAACGTTTAACGGGTTACTGGGAAAGAGATGTTTGGAAACGTCTTTCCCCCAAAAATCCTCCCAACCCTTGCGCCCCACTTCCTGGGGAAGGTTTGGTAAAAATCCTCACCAATTTTCACAGGTGACCACAGACCCAAACCCTTGGATCTTAAGAACAATGGAAAAGCATTCAGTTTCTGAAAAGAAGAATTTTAATAGAAGTAAAAAGAATCACCTCTGTAAAATCAGGATGGTAAATACCTTACAGGGTAATTAGATTCAAAACATAGATAATCCCTCTAGGCAAAACCTTAAGTTACAAAAAGACACAAAGACAGGAATATCCATTCCTTTCAGCACAGCTTATTTCCTCAGCCATTTAAAGAAATCAGAATCTAACGCATATCTAGCTAGATTGCTTACTAAGTTCTAAGACTCCATTCCTGTTCTGTCCCCGGCAAAAGCATCACCCAGACAGACACAGACCCTTTGTTTCCCCCCCTCCCCCAGCTTTGAAAGTATCTTGTCTCCTCATTGGTCATTGTGGTCAGGTACCAGCGAGGTTATCCTAGCTTCTTAACCCTTTACAGGTGAAAGGGTTTTTCCTCTGTCCAGGAGGGATTTTAAAGGCATTTACCCTTCCCTTTATATTTATGATAACTGTAAAAACCAAACATGTCCAAACACACCAAAACATCATGTTTTAAGTATAAACAAACAAGATGTACACATTATTTGGGGTCATATTTAGTAGCACCTTTAATTTACTTGTAAAAACTGATAGAGTGAAAAAATGAGAAATTTTTCTTTCCCCTTCTCTTCTCACACTTCCTCGCCTTTATTTCAAATGCAGCAAGTGCTAACTTCCTGTTCAAGTCTTAAGATCTGGGCTCAACTTGTACATTTTTTTTTTCTAATTAAAGACAATTTCATTTGTAAATACAAAAAAGTAACATGTTCTCTTGCTCCCGTTAGACTTTCAGGAAAATATTTCCAATATCCAAAATTATATATTAGGATAGCAGTTTCCCAGTCTTGGTTGACACTTGAAAAATACATATTTAACGTTTTCAAACATGAATTCATATCTGATCTTTGTTTGACCTGGTCTACATGCAATGTATAGTGTACTTACGGTTCTGAATTCTATAACGTACTGTATGTTGCATGAAGTATACGCCCACAAAACTTATGTGATTTCCAGAACCAACCCTCTTCTCAAAAAGCAAGAGAGTGTAGAAGTAATTTTCAAGACTAGAAGAGCAGTACAGTACCACTCCCAGGTAAGCAAGTAAAAACAGATCTTATCACTGAAGCCCAAAGGTTAGGTTTATTACACAGTGTCTGCTTGTATGGTTCAATTTAAAAAAAAAAAAAGGAGGGGGAGGGGGAAAGGAGTTCAGTCCAGTAGAATTACAAAGATGCTAATAGAGCTTCAGAAAAATCAGGGGCGGGGGGAGGGAATCAGAAAAACTAATTTTAAAAAGTTTCCCTAAGAAAAACAAGGCACCTAGCTGGGCTAGTTTTAACCATGTTAGAAAAGTAGTTAAAGGGATATCAACATGAAGACACATTTTTGCCTGAAAAATGTATACCTAGTGTAGTTACCAGCAACACTTAAAGATTGTAGTGCAACACTTAAAGATGCACTACAAGGTGGGTAGAAAGCTGGCTAGATTGTCGGGCTCAACGGGTAGTGATCAATGGCTCCATGTCTAGTTGGCAGCCGGTATCAAGTGGTGTGCCCCAAGGGTCGGTCCTGGGGCCGGTTTTGTTCAATATCTTCATAAATGATCTGGAGCATGGTGTGGATTGCACTCTCAGCAAATTTGCGGATGATACTAAACTGGGAGGAGTGGTAGATACGCTGGAGGGGAGGGATAGGATACAGAAGGACCTAGACAAATTGGAGGATTGGGCCAAAAGAAATCTGATGAGGTTCAATAAGGATAAGTGCAGGGTCCTGCACTTAGGACGGAAGAACCCAATGCACAGCTACAGACTAGGGACCGAATGTCTAGGCAGCAGTTCTGCGGAAAAGGACCTAGGGGTGACAGTGGACGAGAAGCTGGATATGAGTCAGCAGTGTGCCCTTGTTGCCAAGAAGGCCAATGGCATTTTGGGATGTATAAGTAGGGGCATAGCGAGCAGATCGAGGGACGTGATCGTTCCCCTCTATTCGACATTGGTGAGGCCTCATCTGGAGTACTGTGTCCAGTTTTGGGCCCCACACTTCAAGAAGGATGTGGATAAATTGGAGAGAGTCCAGCGAAGGGCAACAAAAATGATTAGGGGTCTGGAACATATGAGTTATGAGGAGAGGCTGAGGGAGCTGGGATTGTTTAGCCTGCAGAAGAGAAGAATGAGGGGGATTTGATAGCTGTTTTCAACTACCTGAAAGGGGGTTCCAAAGAGGATGGCTCTAGACTGTTCTCAATGGTAGGAGATGACAGAACGAGGAGTAATGGTCTCAAGTTACAGTGGGGGAGGTTTAGATTGGATATTAGGAAAACTTTTTCACTAAGAGGGTAGTGAAACACTGGAATGCGTTACCTAGGGAGGTGGTAGAATCTCCTTCCTTAGAGGTTTTTAAGGTCAGGCTTGACAAAGCCCTGGCTGGGATGATTTAACTGGGAATTGGTCCTGCTTTGAGCAGGGGGTTGGACTAGATGACCTTCTGGGGTCCCTTCCAACCCTTATATTCTATGATTCTATGATTCTATGATTGCTTTTAGATATCATAATTAGTGCACAAAAAATGTGTTTTTTCAGTTTGCATCCTTTGGGCATTTGACAGCACTCTGTGTCTAGTCAGATACTGAAAAGAGCTTTATAAACATCAACAAGGTTTTTTTAAATGAATATTTCTTTAAAACATCAGGACCTACTATTTGGAGAGAGGTTCTTTTTGTTTTACGTTCACCTGTCTAAAAAAAAGCAAGTGCACTTCCACTCTTTTGTAGCCCTTTCCAGCCAATAACCCTTAGCCCTAATTGCCAAAGATTTTTACTTATACCATCAACTTCCCTTATCAATCATCTGCATTTTCTAACTGCTGGTTTGTAAGGTTAAGGAAAATAACAAGGAACTCTTTGAAACATATGAAGCCTATAAAACATACGAAATCCTATCAGTGGCACTGGTCCAATACTAGATAAAGATGGTAACATTGTCTATCATGAGGAAGAAAAGGCAGACATAGTCAATACATATTTCTATTCTGTATTTTGAAAGAAGCAGGATGAAGTATTCATATTTTACAGTGTTAGTGTAATACTTACTAAGGAGGATGTTACACAGCAGCTGTTATAATTACATATTTTTAAACGTTCAGCATTAAAAGAATTGGTCAAGGAGCTAATCTCATACCAATATTAGCTATGAGAACAAAGGCAAAATATTGGAAAGACAGATACAGAATGCAATTAATAAAGAATTACATAATTTTTTTAAGATCACAAATTTGGTTAATAAAAGGTAGCCAGGTTGACATAACAGATTTCTGTAAGACATTTGACTTAGTCCTGCATGATGATTAATTAAAAAAAAAAAATTAGCACTATCCAAATATCAGTGAAGAGGGTGCTTCTAGTGGGGTTCCAGAGGGATCCCTATTCTTGACCAAATATTATCCAATATCTTTATCAATTATTTTGGAGACAACATTAAATCATTGCTGGTGAAGTCTGTATATGACACAAAACTTGACAGAGTAGTAAACAATGATGGGGACAGCTCAGATACATAGACTGGCCTCAATCCCTTGCTAAGGTGGTCTCATTTGAACAACGTGCATTTTAATACAGCCAAAATCAAGGCCATATAGATTGAAAGAGATTTTGCCCAAAGTCTCACAGGTAATTCTGTCCCAGTCAGGAATAAAACGCATGTCTCCTCTTTTCTAATCTTATGCTTCAACAGGACTGTCCTCTTGTTATGAAATACTGCCATGCTAAGAAGGTCTGTGCTTAATGACTTTAACTAACACACACACACCAATCTACACTAACACATTCATCAATCTAGCACAAATCCATTTGTCTACATTACAAAATTTTATCATGTTCAAACACAATTATGAAGAATTTAGATAAGCTTACAGGATGATAACGAGAATAATAGTGAGAATACCTAGCTCTTATATAGCACTGTTCATCAGTAGATCTCAAAGTGCTACACAGAGAAATTGATACACATAGAGGTGAAGTATCCATGACTGACAGGTTAGCATAGCTCAGGGTAAATCATGTTCAGTGTCAGCTAACTGTAATTAAATGCAGCTATCAGAGGAACAGCCGTGTTAGTCTGTATTCGCAAAAAGAAAAGGAGTACTTGTGGCACCTTAGAGACTAACCAATTTATTTGAGCATGAGCTTTCGTGAGCTACAGCTCACTTCATCAGATGTTTACCGTGGAAACTGCAGCAGACTTTGCCCTGATCTATGAAGACAGCTCAGTCATAGTCACTGTTGTATCAAATAATTCAAGTTTTCTCAGTGGTGTTTGAACATAACATGTTACAGGGTAGACAAGGTCAGTGTGGACAGAGCTCTTGCAGCATCAACTGTGGCAGTCTGAGACCACCTTTTGGCAGGATTCAAGCATGGTTTTCAGAAACAATTGTAATAGGGTCTGTACTGGTGTTGCATAAACACAAGGAATATTCTAACTTTTTTTTTTTATGTTAACTGGAAGTTTTAAAGACAGTGTGACAAAACCTAAGGAGGATGGGGCCTAAGCTTCCTGCAGTCTTAATTTCTGCAGTACAAAACAGAAGTGCTTTGAGATATACTGTTGCTCTTTAATTAGTTTGCTTTATTCCTCTCTCACAGTACATTTGCTTCTAAATAGTCAATAAACTGAACTACTGTGAACATCCTCCTGGAAGGGGAATTACTGGATCCAAAGGTCTCCATGGTTGTGCATTAACAACACAGACAGAGGTGGCCACCTATCTCATGACTGAAAATATTACACTGAAAGTACCAACGTGTTGGCGGAAACCAGTGGTTTCCGCCAACCCGCAAATAAGTGTTAACACAGCACTGGCTGGTCTCCTCAGCCCCACGTGAGAAGCTACTTTGAGCTGAATACAATACAGCAATACAGCCATGGGTGAGGGGCATGGGGATGAGCATGGATGGATGCAGTATGTGGAAGGAAACAGACCCAATGGGCAGGCTGGGTGAAAGCTTTTGTTGCTGTTCAGGTGCAATTCCTAGACCATTAAAAGCCCTTTGCATTGCCCCTAACTTTCTGTCTCCTCCACCTTGGCAAATTTCGAATGCCTTGGGCTGCCCAGAGAAATGTAAGAGCATCTAACCAATTCTAGGGGAACCTTGACATCTGAGAGTGACGGCTTGATTCTGATCTCCCTTACACAGTTCTTATGCTGGTTCCAACTCCATGGACTTCAGTGGAATTACTCCTGCCTTATATCAGTGCAAGTGAGAGAAAAGTCAGGCCCAGAGTCCTTCAAAGTGCCAAGTAAGATATATCCACCACCACCCAAAAAAATCCACTTTAAAAGAATGAATTTCCTTACCCCTATTACTAGCAATATTTTCCGTTCTAAAAGCTGCACAAGTTTTAAGGAGCATTTAAAAGTCTCGTTTCTCCTGTTTTCGGTTTCATTTACTAGTTGCATCATGCTCAGCTGGGGACAGCAAAGCTTAGGACATTGCAAGGGACCCTCCTGCCCACGCACAGGGGAGCAGCGTTATGATCAACAACAACCGCCCGCTCAGGTTTGCTCCCCGAGTGCCAGGCACTGGTGGGGGGATTTTAAAACCCAAACCTCCGAACTCTCACTGATGTAAAAGTCAAGTCAACCAGCTTGGGCAGCTTCAGTGGGAAGAGCGATGGGGGGAGGCGCCCCGAGGGCCCCTCAGTAACAGCCATGGGGGGTGACAGGTCCCCAGCCCTCTGAAGAACTGGGGTGTTTCCTAGCTCGCGCCAGTTACCCTGACCCCCCGTGGCCACCGACACGCCACGCTCCCAAGCGGCCCCCAGCCGCCCGCTCACCTGGTCACCAGCGTCCGGCCCCTGGCCAAGTACCCCACCGACAGGTCCATGGCGCACGCCGGCCGCGGGGCCCCGCCGCGCCCACTGCTGCCCGGGGCGGCGCGCTGGCAGCGGGGCGCGGGACCCATGCAGCCGGGCGGGCGGGAAGCGGGCGAGCCGGGGCAGCCGAGCGAAGCCACCGCAGCCGGATCCGCGGTCACGTGGCGCCCCGGGCGAGCCCGGAACAGAGGATAACGGGGCGGAGGCGCCCGGCGCCGGCAGCCCTGGGCATTGGAAGGACAGCCGGCGGCGTCGGGGCTGCGGAGCCGGAGCGTCCCCCTAGCCTGGCTGCGGCGCTAACGCCCGCCCCTCCCCGCGGCAAGGCCGGGCGCGCCTTGGTTTTAAAGCAGGAGCCTGGAGCTGGGACTCGCGGCGCGCTGCAGGGTTGGGACGCGGCTGCCGTGGTTTCCCACGTGCTGCTCGCCTGCCCCTCAGACCTGCTGCCTGCCTGGGCCTTGGTTTCCGACCCCCCAGGTCGCCTTCCCCAGCCCCCCCGCGCAAATCCGCGCTGTCAGCGGCTGCTCTTCACAAGCACCTCAGTCAGTCAGAGCTACCAGGGCTTGGCTCGGCTGCAACAGGTAGGACCCGGCGTGTTCCAGTCCCACGAGCCCGGGGCCGCCAACTTGCCAGTCACATCATTGCCACGTGGCAAGCATGGGCCCAGCAGCCAAGCCAAGTAGGTGCCCTGGGCAGCACCGGGAGTAACCACACCTCCAACCAACTCTCCTGCTACAGCCTACACAGAGCGATTGGATGAGCGATTGGTAACTCAGGCTGCAGCTGGAGCCCGGCTCTGTCTCCAGGGGCAGCGCTCGCTGGCTACGGTCGCGTCTTCACTCGCAAACGGTGCAGCTGCACTCTGTAGACCGTCCTTACAGCGGTGGGAGGGGTTCTGCTGTAGGGTGACCAGGTGTCCCGATTTTATAGGGACAGTCCTGATATTTGGGGCTTTTTCTTATATAGGTGCCAGTTAACCCCCACCCCGTCCCGATTTTTCACACTTAGTGGCTGGTCACTCTATTCTGCTGTCATAGTAGTTAATCCACCTCCCCAAGAGGCCATAGCTACATTGAGGTTAGAATTTTTCTGTTGACCTAGCATTGTCGTGACCAAATATATCTCTCAGGAGTGTGGATTTTTCACCCTCCTGAGTGACGTAGCTGGGTCAGCCTAGGGTGGCCAACTCTTCCAGATTGGCTGGGAGTCTACAGGAATTGGCATTGATCTCCCAGTGACTATTGAAAGCAATCTAGGAGATTTTAATAGGCCGCTAAAAGTCAGGTCGGCGGCACAGCAGGGCTAAGGCAGACTCCCTACCTGCCCTGCCTCTGCATGGCTCTCAGAAGTGCCTGGCATATGCAGCTCCAAGGCGCAGGGATGGCTAGGGGATCTCCGCGCACTTCCCCTGCCACGAGCACCGACTCCGCAGCTCCCATTGGCCAGGAACCAGAGCAGCAGGGGTGGTGCCTGCAAGCAGGGATGTAACCCACAAACCTCCTGGGTGTGGTGTTCTATCCCATCTAGTGGCACTAAGACCAGTTAAAGCAGGGGAGGGCAAACTATGGCTGTCAGGGCTTTGTCTGGCCCACAGGATTGCCAGCTCCGTTGCACAGCGGGGCCAAAGCAAGCTCCCTGCCTGCCCTGGCCCCGGCCCTGCGCTGCTCCGCTCCTGGAAGCGGCCGGCAACACATCCCTAGGGAAAGGGGTGGTCCGAGGGCTCCATGCACTGCCCTTGCCTGCAGGCACCGCCCCCTTCAACTCACTTTGGCCAATGGGAGCTTCGGGGGTTGTACCCACAGACAAGGGCAGCATGTGGCAGAACTGCCTGTCCCACCCTATCGTACCCCACCTCCAGGAGCCACTGCCAGATATGCTGGTCACTTCCGGGAGCAGTGTGGGGCCAGGGCAGGGGGGCTCAGTCTTTGGTTCAGCCCTGCTAACCCCATTAAAATGGGATTGTGACCCACAGTTTGAGAACTGCTGCTCTACAGCCTTAGTTAAGAGCCACATGGCTTTTAGCTCATGCAGTAGAGGCTCATGCACTAAGCTCCAGAGACCACAGGTTCAATCGCGCTCACCAATGACTGGGATCTGTTGGTGTTACAAGTGGGGGCTCATCTGGGATTTCAGCTGGGAAGTCTCTGAAGCTCGGGACGCGCCTCCTCCGCTAGGGGAAGTATGTAACCCACGCACTTCCTAGGTGGGGTGTTTTGTCCCATCTAGTGGCACTGAGACCACTTAGAGAGATTAAGGAGTTTGCTATACAGCCTTAGATAAGAGCCATACAGGCTCATACACTAAACTCCAGAGGCCCCAGGTTCGATCCCATCTGCCAAGAGGACAACCGGGGTCTGTCGGCGTTACAGGGGCAGCACACGAAGCCACTTGGCTGCCCCTGAGCCTAGAAGCCAGAGGGACACGCCGGTTGCTTCTGGGAGCCGCCCAAGGTAAGTGCTGCTTGGCTGGAGCCTGCACCCCCTCCCGGAACCCACATCCCTGCCCTCCAACCCCCAGTCCCCCTGCACCCAAACTCCCTCACAGAGCCCGTACCCTAAACCCCCTCCTGCACTCCAAACCCTTCATTTCTGGCCCCACCCTGGAGCCCTCACCCCCCCATACCCGAATCCCTTGCCCCATCCTGGTGAAAGTGAGTGAGTGTGGGGGAGAGCAAGCAATGGAAGGAGTGGAGGTGGGGCAGGGACAGGGTAAGGGTGTTGGGGTTTGTGTGATTAGAAAGTTGGCAACCCAAGGTCAACCTAACTTTTTAGTTAGCTAACTAGCTCCAGTTTAAAGCCCCACTTACTTTGAGCTAGAAATTTGTGTGTGGCTAGGAGTCAGGTTTCTGGGAAAACCATGAGCTAATACTTCAATAAAGACAAATAGCTGGACAAACTTTTTGGCCTGAGGGCCTGTCAAGGTTCCTTCCCCACTCTGAACGCTAGGGTACAGATGTGAGGACTTGCATGAAAAACCTCCTAAGCTTATCTTTACCAGCTTAGGTCAAAACTTCCCCAAGGTACAAAATATTCCACCCTTTGTCCTTGGATTGGCCGCTACCACCACCAAACAAATACTGGTTACTGGGGAAGAGCTGTTTGGAAACGTCTTTCCCCCCAAAATACTTCCCAAAACCTTGCACCCCACTTCCTAGACAAGGTTTGGTAAAAAGCCTCACCAGTTTGCCTAGGTGACTACAAACCCAGACCCTTGGATCTTAAGAACAATGAACAATCCTCCCAACACTTGCACCCCTCCTTTCCTGGGGAATGTTGGATAAAAAGCCTCACCCATTTGCATAGGTGACCACAGACCAAAACCCTTGGATCTGAGAACAATGAAAAAGCATTCAGTTTTCTTACAAGAAGACTTTTAATAGAGATAGAAGTAAAGAAATCCCCCCGTAACATCAGGATGGTAGATACCTTACAGGGTAATTAGATTCAAAACATAGAGAACCCCTCTAGGCAAACCTTAAGTTATAAAAAGATACACAGACAGAAATAGTTATTCTATTCAGCACAATTCTTTTCTCAGCCATTTAAAGAAATCATAATCTAACACATACCTAGCTAGATTACTTACTAAAAGTTCTCAGACTCCATTCCTGGTCTATCCCCGGCAAAGCAGCCTATAGACAGACAGACCAGACCCTTTGTTTCTCTCTCTCCTCCCAGCTTTTGAAAGTATCTTGTCTCTTCATTGGTCATTTTGGTCAGGTGCCAGTGAGGTTACCTTTAGCTTCTTAACCCTTTATAGGTGAGAGGATTTTTTTCTCTGGCCAGGAGGGATTTTAAAGGGGTTTACCCTTCCCTTTATATTTATGACAGGGCCACATCTGGGTATGGAAATTGTATGGCAGGCCATGAATGCTCATGAGGTTGGGGTGCGGGAGGGGGTGAGGGCTCTGGCTGGGAGTGCGGGGCCAGAAATGAGTTCAGAGTGTGGGCGGGGGTTCCAGGCTGGGGCAGTGGGGGTTGGTGACCTCTGGCTGGGGGGTGCAGGCTCTGGGGTGGGGCTGTGGTGGAGGGGTTTGGAGAGTGGGAGGGGGATCAGGGCTGGGGCAGGCTCAGGGATACAGGCTCTGGACAGAGCTTACCTCATGCAGCTCTCAGAAGCAGTGGCATATCCCCCCCTTTGGCTCCTACTCAGAGGCACAGCCAAGTGGCTCTGTGTGCTGCCCTGTCCAGAGGTGCAGCCCCTGCAGCTCCCATTGGCCACAATTCCTGGCCAATGGGAGCAAGGGTGCGGAGGGGACATGCCACTGCTTCTGGAAGCTGTGTGGAGGGGCTCCTGACCCTGCTCCCTGGCAGGAGCGGGGCAAGCCCCAGACCCCGCTCTCCAGTGGGAGCTTGAGGGCTGGATTAAAACGGCTGGACGCAGCCCGTAGTTTGCCCACCCTTGGTGTACTGCCTAGCACTGGGGGGTGCTTATCCCTGAATGGAGGTCCCAGACTCTATTATGTCTAAATAAAGGTTGTATTAAAACAGGACCTTGAGGAGTCCTGTTAACTAACAGCGTTGCAGTCAGTGGAAAGGGTGATATGTCATCATTAATGTTAGCAGGTAGTTACGGATAACTCTGTGGTTCCATTATCATTTTGTTGATATATTAAACCCAACTGTTGTGCTTATTTAATATATTTATTAACAGGATTCTAACTCAGGTCTAATCCCTCTTCTGCCATGATCTAAATGTTTAGCCACAGCAAGCTCAAAGTCTGATAGTTTTCTCTAGTATGGAAGCTCATTTTTGAGCTATTTCCTCTATTAGATTGAATGTATAATGGCTCATGGTTTAAACCAATAAGAACAACAGGACCCCAGTTTCTGGAACCTGGTTTGACTTTTTTCTTATTGACAGTTGTGAATTCCAAGGCCAACTCTTTGTTATACCAAAGAGAAAATTCACAGATAAAAAAACATTCTATGATTTAAATTTGTCAGATTAAAGCAGGATTTAGGCAGATGCTACATGTTGTGTCCAAAAAACAAAACATGCAGGTATCATCAAGCTTAGTTTTAGCTGCCAGAAGAGCTCTTTCTGGTTGAGACTGGTACAATTAAAATACTCAGAGTATTGTTCCCCTGGACTTCAAAGTCCCCAGTGCTTTCAGTGGGAGAAGTTCAGGCCCAAGTTTTTTGAACATCTAAACATTACCTATCCTAAAGTTGTCTTTTGATAAATCTTGAAAAAAATTAAAGGAAAAAAGTGCAGATAGTATTTCACAATATATTTAATGAGTCCAGCAGCTGGAATAGTGCAAGCTCCATTAATTTTTATTTGATTATAGTTTTCTATTACAGTACTCTAAACACCACAAAACAGCTTCTACAAATAACTCAAAGGAAAAAAGTGTCCACTTCAGTTTGTCCAGGTTGAAGTTGACCAGCCACCAAGAAATAAGTAAATATTGACTACACAAACTTAGACCAATGTGGGGGAAGGGGAGGGGAGTAGGAAACAGACTTTCTGGTGGGGCCAGGAACAGGCCCCACATTCCTTTTCAAATCTGAGTTTTTAAAGTACTTCAGAAGGGGTCTAAGTTTATACCTCAGCTTTTTAAAGGAAACACTTTGAAGTGCACATACAGGCCCAGATCTTCAACCCTACCTAGGTCCCTAACTTGCATTGAAATCAACAAGATTTAGGCACCTAAATACCTCTAAGGATCTGGACTCTAACCCTTCAGTTTAATATTTTCACACTGGTTCCAGAGGCATGGAACTCAGGTTATTGTCCCCTCCATATTTCAAACCAAGTTGAGTTGTGGATAGAGGTAGAGAGCATGGTAGGTAAAACTCTTAAAGAGGTTCCAATGTAAAACAAAATATCCAGCTCACTCCTCCTGCAATCTCTGCTTCACTAAAGTCTTTGGGTAAGGATTAATAAATCCTGCCTCCTTTAAGGTAATTTTGATAATCATGATTTTAATTTTGGAATAAAGTGTTCATAACTTTCAGGCAGAGTGTTTTACGGGAGAGGTCGAGGCAACTGCTACAGAAGTTTAGGACAGTTATACAGCACCTCCATACCAAAACCTAGAGAGTTCCCCTTTGCAAAGTTTATCCTACAGAGCTGTTCCCAATTTTCATTTGGGAGCTGTAAGATGGTGTCCGATTACTCCAGCAAGCTGTAGGGTGGAACAGAGGATAGGATTAAACTAGCTCATTCTGAATAGCTTTACAGAGTTTGATTAAGCCTCATCTTACAGAGTTGTTAGAAGTTCTATCCTTGCTGTAAAGGGAGCAAGGCAACAATGTTAGCATGTAGAAAGAACAGGATAGAGAATACTGAGTTGTGCCATTATGTAATTAGACAGTGCGCCTTTACCCGAGTCTGTTTTCGGTTCACCCTCTCTCAGAAGGGATGAGACATTTAAAAAAAAAAAGTCCAGAGACAAGAGCCGAGACATAAAAAGACTTCTACGTAAAAGGGGGGGGTGGGGAGGGAAGAGAACTGAAGAAAAGAGTGGGATTATTTGGGGGAGAGATGAATAAAGGGAAGTCATAGTTATACAAATAGCAGTATAGCAAAGAGGAAATTGGATTCTAATAAAGGAGAATTCAGTACTGAAAGTAAAAGGCAAAGTTACTACGGATTGAAGGAAACATTTCCTCTCAGTGGGTAGTTAACCAGCTGAATTTGTTATCACAGGACACCATTGAGACCAAACAGCCTAATAAGATCCCAGAAAAGAATGAGATATTTATATAGGTATGGACATCCATAACTTCATTAACAAAATAGACAAGGTACAAAGCTTTATGCTTCAGGGCACAGGTCAACCACTAACTAACAGGAGTTAGGAAGAAGCCTCACCTAGGGAGCAGCTATGCCACAAAACAAAACACTGCCAAGCCTTCCAGCGAAGCATATGTTATTGGCCACTGCCTGAGACAAGAAGTTGCAATATAGCATCAAAGCAGCGATGCATCTATGGCAATGTCTATGTTCTTTCCTGGTTTAGACATGCCAGACATTATAGTTAATATTTTCTAACTATAATTCAGTTTTGTGTAAGGCACAGGAAAGGTGTTTGAGTTGTTTCTACATTTGCTGTCTTTTAGTATGCATATCCTCCAACTCCAGCTTTGGAACCCAGTATTCCTTGTACTTAACCAGCATATTTGTTGCTCAAAATAAGTCATCTTGAACCTTCATTCTCTAATTAGCCAGAATATTTGTTGAGGAAATTTGGCTTCTGCGTTAGATGAGGACAAGGAGAACATGGATTGATTAAGATTCAGGATTGTCAATACAGGCTATTTCCAAGAGCACATCAAATACAAGATCATTGGTTCCAAGAACTGAGAAGTTTGGCTATAAAAAACACCACAAGTCCAAGGTGGAGAGTACCTTGCCACTGGCTTGTGGCTAGGATAAGCTTGTTCTGCCTCATATGGCAATATCAAGGTATTAGAAATTGGGAGAAGACTGCACGGGAGGGGCTAAGTTGTGCAATGGGCCCTAGCTCTTCTTTAGTCATCCCAAATTACTTACAGGTGTTCCCTCTGTATTAGGGCAGTAACACTGCTCTGCATTTGGTTTTTGCTGAATTATGCAAGTCTTAGCAGACTGGTTTAAAAATCAAGAGAAAGTTTGAGGTCATCTAGGTTTATGAGGAAATAGGAGATATCAGGTGGGAGAGGTGGTGGTCTTTCAATGGTTTATAATGGCAGATGCCCTCCCCTTCAGATTTCTTTGCAACTGCAATAGTGCTTTTTAAGTGGTGTGTACATTATGCTTAGCCCCTTTGGTACGCAAAAAATTGCAATCTGTGCTTACATGCTAATGAACTTGTTTCCCCAAACAGCATTCTCAAGAAAACCAAAATGCTGGTGAAATAAGCCTTATTAAAAGGACTTCCTAGAAATTTAGTTTAGGGAGAATTTGTTCTGTCTGTCCCATTTCTGCTACCTATTGTATGTGGTTGGCCTCTGCTGAGTGGGAACCTATTATGATTTGCAGAAGTGGTACTCCTAGCCTGACTGTTTTATACCAGAAAACCAAAGAAGGATTAAGATGCAATAATTCAATTAGAAACGCAATAAATGTATGAGCTAATCTGGTACAGACCCAGAGCTAGCATCAAGAGTTTAGGTATTCATTTCAAATTAGTCCATTATTTAATCCTTGCCAGAAGTATAAGGATACTGGTCATGAAAAAGATGAATTAAAAACTGACATCTTAAAGTTACTCCTGGTTCACTCAAGATTTACTTCAATTGCAAATGTTTATTTCAGCACTTTCCTACAAAATGTAAACATTCACCCTGAACATATTTAGCATCTTCCAAATTTGTGCATAGCATATAAAGAACATTTCACTGTACAGTTTACTACACCTATAGGATTTTTGGTCTTACACATGCAATCATCTAAAATATGCTCCTCCATTTTTCTATTCTGCTTCCCAAGTGAACAGATTATGGAGAATAAAGCTTCAATAAAAATCCGGTTCCAAAGCAAGAGGATGGACTAGTTAATAGCTCAGAATTGCAATATTTGAAGTACTGTATCATAACAAAATTCTACAGAGGACCTTTGTGACTACTGCATATAATAGCTGTCAAATATCCACTTTCCAATATCTGGGAGTCAAAATCTCCATACATCTAATTTAGACTCCAGAAATAGTCTAAGGTCTAGTATACTAGGAGGAAACATTTAAATGAAAATGAATATTTTGGAAGTACTTTTGTTGCTGTTATGTTTATTTTCTCCCTTACCTCACCTTTATTCTTTAAAAATGTATGTCAGCATTCTGTTAAGAGACATGAAAGGCTACATGCCTGGTCCTACCCAGTGGTGTGTGTAGTAAGCTATGTAAGGTTCCCCCACTCATCTCTGCCACCACACTTCAACCTGACCTACCTATCCCTGGCTATATACTCTGGCCTCTCTGAGACGAGACTGCCGGTCATGTCAGGTGGTATGGCTTGTTTGCACAAATGCCCACTTAGTTTATGCCCTGAGCCAGATTTGAACATTTACGTTAACCCACTACACTGTCTCCAGTGGCAGTTTATCTAATGTGTTTTCCTGAAACTCAGTTTGGGTTGATTTTTTACTATTACTGTAGGTAAATAGAAAATCTGAAGAAACTAAAGGCCTTTGGTAAGTAGTGCTGTAACTCAATAAATGAATGCTACTCCATACATAAAGCCTGTAGTGTTGAGGACCAGTTTTTGTTTGACGTTGCCATTGTCCAGCTGTAACTTTTGGATCTATTGGAGAAATATTGTTGAATAGTCTAGTCTAGCCAGATCACCGTGCACAGCCAGTTTCATAATGCCCTTTGCATTCCAGTGCAATTCTAACTAGATCATCAGACAATTAGAGCCATATGCTTAGAAAAATACAACCTAAACTAGAGATAATGGTCAATTAGATGTCCAAGTTTCACAAACTTCTGTAACAAGTTTATATTATTTTAAAGAAAAGAAAGTTTGAGCTTTAAGTTCAGGAATTTTCCAGCTTTTTTTTCTATCCAGTTCTTGTGATTAGTGTGCGGTTTTAAAAGGTCTCCAGAATACATTCCCACATTCTTGTAAATATCTTCGTTAGGACCTTCAAGAAAGAAAGTTGTCAGCAATTTGCAGGAAAGTAACATTTTTAACTTGATGTAGTTAATTTGGAGTCTTCAAAATAATGTAGATCTATTCCTTAATGACCAATACTACTGGAAACAGAAAGATCACGTACAATACAAGGTGACTGAATTACTCAGTAAGGTGGTAGAGAAAAATATGAAGTCCTGGGCACAAAACATGTAAGATTCTATGAATATTCCTGAGCTGAAGCTACAGATTTTACGGTTCAAATCCCCAGATGGGCCACTAACTTTAACACCTCCATTGGATAGGGCATCTGTAAGGAATGTGTAATCTCTGGATCCAAACAGCAGGAACCCTTATTTGAACTAAAGGGCCAGGCCCATTAGTTAGAGGCAATAGCAGACTCAAAAGTCTGGTCTGGCCACTAGAGCAGGACAGTTATCTATTGCAGTAGCTTGAATAGCTGCTTTGATTCCAAAAGTTGGGGCCTGGAATAATTTAAGTTAAACATTTTAGATTTTGCAGTATTTCATAACATAATCCAGTTGACTAAGAGGATAGCCTATTTGTATGATAGTACAGGACTCCTAAAGCATTAGAAAGCCACATAGTTCTTAACTGAGAAAGTATTTCTGATATGAAATCTTGGTGAGATGGTATGTTATATGGCTACTTAATAATATGTAGGCAAATAAAGCCAGATGCCTACCGTTTACAACAACAGAAGATCGACACAGGACTCTCCTCTTCTAATCTGTACCGGCCTGAGTTTGGTAGGTCGTTACACTGTGATATAAAGTCATGGAGTTCCGTCTCTGGAAAGCCATCTTGCTGGTAATGCTGAAGATTAGTCATTCTTAGTTACAAAGCTGAATTGTTGTATATAGTCTTGCTAAGATTTAAATCCTTCCCCTCAACACTAACCACACAATTGTGTAAAAACTGGATTTAGAAGACTGGACACTCTGAAGTGCGGTAGACACTGTACAGAAATATTGATAGATTTTTATCCTTTCACTTTTAAAGTTTGGGATAGGGAAGGCCGATTGCTTTTGTCAAAACTAGGGCAAGGTGGGAAGATAATCTCACAAATATTTTAGTCACTCTTCCTTAAGTTAGTTTTCGGAAATCTTTGATCACTAACATTTCAGGAGAGAGAGTTATAAATTTAGGTTCTAAATTCATGTAGATGACTTCTTCTACCTCAGTGCTTTGGAATACATTGTAAAGTCTGGATGCACACCGACTAACCTATTATACTTGTTCCCTAGCCAGAGAGATCAACTAGCAATACTGCAGCTGCTGAAAGGGTTTTCAGTAGAAACGTTTCTGTAAATTTTTATTCATATTTCAACTTTAATTACCAGATAGGTACATGTACTGGCAAAAGCACTGAATGCTATGGGTTTTGTATCAATATCATAGTTGAACATGCAAACCATTCTTGCATTTTTCTTCTGAACCAGAGAATAAAAGACCATGCCTACCTTAATTGTTTCATATGTATCGGTGATCAGTGCAATGAAAAGACTTAGCACCATATAGATGAACAGGCTGATGAAGGAGTAGAGGTAAAGCCGACTAAATAACCAAACCAAGTAACTTTTCTGATGCATTTTTGCAAATGTGGCAAACATGTCATCTCCATTTATAAGTGAGAAAAGGCATTCTGAAACCATGTTCAGAGAACGGAACTAGAGGAGAAGGGGAAACCAAAAACAAACATTATTTAGTACCATCCAGTTACTGTTTGCTGCAGTCTTAGATTTAAAATAAAGTGAAAAGCTGTTGAATATTGCTGCTCAGCAGTCCTAGACTCTTTACAAGAAGCATGAGATACTGTAACCCAAATCAATTCCTCCTTGTGTAGAGACCTGCAGAGCAAAAGGTGGCTACAGGCAGGTCCTGGCATAGCAGGGAGAGAATGCAGGATATATCATTGCAAACCGATATGACAATATGCACTGGTAGACTATATCCAGGCAATAGATGATTAGTTGTCTCCAACCCACACAGTCAGATTGGTTCAGCTGTGAACTAATAGCAAGACTAGATATGCTGACTTTGGTGCCTTAGTTCTTATCCCTTTAAGAAAAAAATCTGAAAAATTTGAAAACAGAAGTTAGTCTTGTGCAAGACCAAGTTATTTCTCAAAACGTTGCACAGAAAGCCCCAGCATGTGATTAGGAATCAATCTGGCCATACTTCTGACTCAGGACTCTCATAATGGTGGAGAGGAAAGTCTGATCAAGTCAACATTGTACTTTGTCAGCCTTCAAAACTATGACAGATAAGGCTTTAGATTCTTTAAAAAGACTTTCATATTAGAGAAAACCTTGAAACTGTGAAGCTTAGCAGTAGCTCTCATAATTTAGACACTTAAACTGAATGAATAGAATTCATTTCAAATAAGTGGCCTTCAGACTTTGTATTGGTGATCCCTTTCATACAGATAGCCTCTGAGTGTGACCTCCCCCCTTATAAATTAAATATTGGGGGGGGGTTAAATTTAATGGTTGCTTGGGTTGTCAGGTCCTGAGCTGCCAGCTTGCAACCCCCATGTAACCACCTTGCGACCCCAAGGGATGACAACCCCCAATTTGAGAACACCTGGTTTAACTCATTCAGTTTAAAAACCTCAAATATTACATTACCTTAACATGATATGGCCCTAGTACAATCCAGCCACAGAAACAATAGCCCAGATAGATCATAGCAGCACAACAGCAGAATCTAATGACATTGGGCAATGCTGACCGTAGTGTCAGAATAAGCAGCTGCAGAAACCAATATTAACAGTTAGAATCCAGCCAGATATTTGTTACAGTTGTGTGGTAACAACAAACAAAATAAATACCAACAGCATGGAGATCCCAGGAGATCCTTACATTATACTTCTGAAAGAAACCTAGGTATCGAATAACTCCAAGCCACACAAGCATGGTTGAGGTTCCTAGGAGAATACTACAGACATCATAACTTGTCAGACTCTATATAAAAAAAAAAAAAACAGGAAAGAACAAAGTGTTAAAAACCATACAGTTGACGAGAAACCTCCTTTTTGTGCTAGCCTAGGATTTGGTCATTGCTACAACAATCTGCCAAGAAACACTATTTTCCTTGAAAGCTTCCATCTCCCATTCCAATACTGACCAAAACCAATTCTGTTTAGTGGGCAAAATTCTACTAAATTTTATAGATTCAGGCAAGAAATGAGAAAACATTTATTTAAATTTAGTGCATCTCTCACATGTGTGACTAATATATAAAGTATAGCCATCATGTCCAAGAAGTGTATTTTCCTGCCCAAACAAAATACATCTTTATGTAAGAGGAAGAATCAGGTCTAGCCAACAAGTAGGACAGACAAGTGCCACAGTACTAGGAAGTTACCAAAGAGAAAGATAGCTTCTAAAAACTGAAGTAATGATCACAGAACTAGATTAATATTTTGCTTGTGTTCCACTGGTTTTCCATTCTGTCAACACCTACACGCATTGGCCTACTTTCATCCAACTTAATACATTCACTATCCTGTTTTTAACTGCAGTTCTACTTTGAAAGGCAACTGTGCAAAAATATGTTTTAAAGGTTCAGATCTGAGTAAAAACACAACAGCTCACTTTAGTGACAAAAAGTTTTCACTTTTTTTTAATTCCTGTTAGGCCTGCAGAACCAATACAGCAACACACGTGGGTAGACTCCATTCCTTCTTGTGTTATATATCAGCTGCTTCATTTGTTAAGCTGCACTCAGCTACATTTATGCAAACTTGCTGAAGACAAGGGATGCACAAAGTGTAATTTGACTGGCAGAACTGTCAGACAGTGTACAACAAGGAAGAGATGTTTATTCAGATTTCAGGTGAAATTTGTAAGACTTGCAATGAGATGCCTCTGCTTTACTTGTGAACTGATTACATATGATCTAGAGGCTTAGAAAGAAGATGAACCCCACAATCCCAGGTTTTTACCAAGCCATTTCATAAGAAAACTGCAAGATGTCATCCAATGTGCTATCAGATATACTCCTTCTTGCTCTCATGCTTGGATTTTCCCAGACCATAAATCAATTATTCATTTTTGCATTTACTTCTTACCTTCCTTTTATTTCTAAGAATTGAGCTTATAGCTCCTATAATTGGTAGTTGGGTACTTCACAAGGATAATTTAAAAACAGTAATCAGCACCACCAAACTGGATTTTCAGAATTATTCTTTGGTCACTGTAGAGCAGGGGTAGGCAACCTATGGCACACGTGCCAAAGGCAGCACGCGAGCTGATCTTCAGTGGCAGTCACACTGCCCGGGTCCTGGCCACCGGTCGGGGGGGCTCTGCATTTTAATTTAATTTTAAATGAAGTTTCTGAAACATTTTAAAAACCTTATTTACTTTACATACAACAATAGTTTAGTTATATATTATAGACTTATAGAAAGAGGCCTTCTAAAAATGTATCACTGGCACGCGAAACCTTAAATTAGAGTGAATAAAATGAAGACTCGGCACACCACTTCTGAAAGGTTGCCGACCCCTGCTGTAGACTAAAGCTTACAGGCATGCTGCAAAAGCTAATCTGCTGGAGTTTTGAGGGCAAGTAGCATTAGGTTAATGTTAAGGTATTTCAGGATGGAATATTTTTCCAGTTCTTGGTTGATTCTTATTGGACATGGGTTATAAATCACTGTGCATTTTTGTATGATTATTTCATAGAATATCAGGGTTGGAAGGGACCTCAGGAGGTCATCTAGTCCAACCTCCTGCTGAAAGCAGGGCCAATCCCCAGTTTTTGCCCCCGATCCCTAAATGGCCCCCTCAAGGATTGAACTCACAACTGTGGGTTTAGCAGGCCAATGCTCAAACCACTAAGCTATCCCTCCCCAATTTAAGAAATTGAGCACCTAGACCCTAGGATAGGCACTTCTGTAAGTGCAAAAGAAATATTAAACAGTAAATATCAACTTTGGCTGGTCCACTAAGATAGAACCTCACCCACCTTGTCTCTAACTTCTGTTAGAATTATTTGTAATATGGAAGCAAGTAGTTTCAGATACAAATAGAAATACCAAAAGCTTAAGTGGTAGCACCAGAACTGGTTAGAGAAGATATCTAGGTAGCAGAGATTCCACACATCTAATTCTGAATGTGGGTGGGTGCAAATCTATTTTGTCATGTACTGTAGCGGAGATGTTCAGAACTCTTGCAGGCTGAAGCCTGCTTAGTTACTGGAGATTGGAAGCTGGAGTTGCAGTGAAGAGGTGTTTGAGAAGTACCTCTTTCCTTAAGACAGTTGTGGGTACTGTACAATGTTGCACAGAAAGTCTCACACACACACACCTACCTACACTGAAAAGCCAGATATATCAAATACAACCCTACATGGGAGGAGGAAAAGGGAAAGCGGACAGTGAATATAAAATTTTATTTTTCAGAGTAAAATTTCTTAAGAATGAAGAGAATAGGCAGATGGGTGTCTAAGGATATTCAGAGTTCTAAAGTCTAATGGCCAGTCACTGCTCACCTGAAGTGAAATGCCTAACAAAGTTTATTTTTGGGCCCAACTAGTTGGAAACCTCTAAGGGGGTATTGCTTGGCTATACTCAAGTATTCAGACTGGGATGGAATTTCAAAAACAAAAACAGTTTTGCTTTTACCTAGTAGGTGAACATCTTACCTTTGCTTGTATTTCCATTTTTAGTGTTGAGCCAACAATAGTTAAGACATCACTAACAATAATCAGGATGTACCACCCATTGACAAATTCCATTTGATCAGTGAAAGATACTTCTTTCTTATAATGATGTAGGAAAAAACTTACAAATTCCTAGAGGAAAAAAAGAAAAAACAGCCACAATCAAACTAAGTTTAAAAGGCTCATAAGCATTCCTGAGGACAAGTTATACCCACCCTTTGGAGCCGAAATCCTTTAACCACTGATCGTGTGCAGAGGATCAATGAGGCTAAACAAGTCAATATGACAAAGGCATCAAAGATCATCATGTAATGAGTATTCTTTTGTACTGCAAAAAAACCAAGAACAAAAAAAAACACCCACACATGTTTATAATAGTGCACAAACACAATAAATTTTGCCTAAGAGTATCCATTTAACTCAAGTCTGAATCACTATGTATATCCAGTTTGGATTAAGATAAGCTTTACTGGGTGAAACTAAGTCATCAGAAATGTATGAGCATGAAGTTGATGAGTGTCTCAGTACGATAGATCAACACTCACCAAGTTGTAGGCCTAAACATACCAGTATATTGCACTTATGCTCAAGGTAGGCCATCTGGCAAGTTATTTCAATATTAACGTACCTCCTGCCTCTCTCAGATTCAAGATGAAACAGCTTTCAGCTTTGTTTATAATATATTTAATTCTTCAGTGGCATTCTTGAGCCAGTTGTACAGACAGCACGTTTTACTGACCTTGTCAGTGCTTTAAGGCATGAGCCAGTCATGTGAATACTTGGAGCAAATACATAGTTGCTAACATGATAGAATTACATTTTTCTGTTGTGCATTTGCAACTTAGATTTGAACAGATATAAAAGACAGCTGTATAGACAGTCATGCATTACATTGACTGAATATATTAACAGTATTAAACTGACTAGTGCTTCTCATTTAGAAATCCTATACCACTCCAAGGTTTCCTTAGATCACAAGCCAACATGATTTTACAGTATCTTCTTGAAAATGAACAGTTGCCTTAAAATAACCTCATGTCATAATATTAGAGGAGTCTCCAGTGTGCCATGAGAGCACGAGATACTGTTCCTCATTTTACAGTGACAGGAATGGAAGCCTTAAAAAAATAAATAATAGACATTCAGTGGCAAAGTCAGGAACTGATCCCAGATCTTCTCAGGTCCAGTCCAGTGTCTTAACCACTGAACCATCCTTCCTCTCCCAGAGCAATTCAGGTAACTGTTACACAGTTGCATAGACAGTCAAGACCCAAGTAGAGTAACTGATGTTCAACACAACTTATACTAAGTCACCAATGTTGCTTTTAATAAAGAGCATATATTAAGAGTGAGAGACATAATCAAGACATTTAGACAGGCAAAGGTTTGCGCCAGAGCTATATGTTAAAGGGTTCAAACATTTTATCCTAGAGTTTTCATATAAAGCTAACATATTTGAAGCCAGATAACCATCAGAAAGAAAAGGATTAAAGTTCCAGTACTAAAATCAGGATGCTTGCTTTAGACAACCCCCATCTCCCACAAAAGGTATCCTAGTAATTACATTTGTGTTTAAAGTGTTTTTCAGAGACCAAAGGCTCTACAATTTATTATTAATCCAAGTAGGTTTTGAAACAAGCAAGCTATCAATCTAAAATAGGGTAAAGTGCTATCTGACTTCAAAATGGTGCCTGCTGCACCATTCCACAAAGATACACATTGACCTTTTGGATATACAAAGGTCTCTGCCATATATGTAGCAATGTGCTCACATTTGAGCAATTTTTGCAACTTAATTCAAATGGATTAAAAAAATTATGTTGGGGTTTGGTTTTTTTGGGTTGTACTTGTTTTATATTTCATGACTGATTTGAGATTAAGTTACAAAAGAATCCCCTGGATTGACCTGTAAAAATAATGTTATTGTGATGCACATTTTAACAAAGTAACACACCCTAATATGGATTATCACACAAATCTGATATAAAGCACTTTCTTTTAGCACTGCATAAGTGATCCATTTGAGCTAGCATGCCATCTAGGTGAACAGTTGGTGAAAGGCAGCTAATGGGGCTAATTGAAGCAGGGAAGAACTTTTTAACAAAAAGGTTTCACAAAACAGAAGTGTTTTTGAAAACTATTTTGTTTCATTGCCCTCTCCACTCCCCCTTTTCCACTGAACGCAATAAATTGAGGGCCAGGATGGGTTTTTCCTCCAACCAACCAAATTTTCTCCTCCACTCTCAGGTTTTTCCTTTTGCAACTGACTTTTTTTTTTTTTTTTTGGGGGGGGGGGGGGGGGGCGGAAAAAGAGTCCAAACGTTTCAAAAGTTAAAGTGGAAAAGTAAAAACCTGGATCTCATTCATCCTATTAGTGGCAAAACGGGGAAGGGAGAAATAAAATGAAATCTGAGAAAAAGCCATTTATAGAAAGTGTCTGGTTTAAAGAATGATCGGAAATAGCCTAAGTGTCAAAGTGTTTTGACCAGCTTGAATATCTACTAATCTTAAATTGGTTTGAAATAGTCATTAAGTTCCAACATGTGGTGCGGGCTGTACAAGACAATCCCTGCCCCAACTGGTTTATAATGCGTGTAAACACTTAAGATATTTGTTAAATACCATTGGTATGAACAGTATTGCACATCACAACTTGATTTCAATTAAATCAAATCCTTGGTATGGTCAGTTACACATGCTAAAACTTAGGTATATTTCTAGCCACTCCACATTAATACAGGTGAGGCACCTTCTCTTGGATACAGCCTTTGAATATGTTAGAATAAAAGAATTACTTAAGAACCAGCTTTATTTTTCACCACTATCATTCAGCTTTGGCAGACTTACAGTGCGAGCCTTTTTGTACTAAAGAGTCCCTAAGAACATTCTAACTCAGTATGGCCAGTGATCCATCTAGGCCAGTATCTTATCTTCCAACAGTGGCCAATGCCAGATGGGTCCGAGGGAATGAACAGAACAGGGCAATTGTAAAGTGACCCATCCTGTCTTCTAGTCCAAGCATCTGGCAGTCAGCAGTTTAAGAAAACACAGAGCATGGGACTGCATCCTTGACCATCCTGGCTAATAGCCATTGATGGACTTCTCCTCCCTGAACTCAAATTATTTTTTGAACCCCATTATAATTTTAGCCCTCAACATCCTGTGGCAACAAGTTCCACAGGCTGACTGTGTTATGTGAAGAAGTCCTTCCTTTTGTTTGTTTTAACCCTACTGCCTATTAATTTCACTTGGTGACCCTTGGGTCTTGTGTTATGCAAAGGGATAAACACTCTCTCCACACCATTCAGGATCTTACAGACTATCATTACTCATCTCTTTTCTAAACTGAACAGGCCCAGTCTTTTTAATCTCTCCTCAGATGAAAGCGGTTTGCTACCCTTAATTATTTTTGTTGTCATTCTCTGTACCTTTTCCCCATTTCTAATATATCTTTTTTTGAGATGGGGCATCTAGAATTGCATGCAGTGTTCAAAGTGTGGGCAAACCACGGATTTATATAGTGGCATTGTGATTTTTTTCTTATCTTATATATCCCTTTCCCAATGTTTCCTAATATTCTTAGCTTTATTGACCACCACTGCATGCTGTAGATAGTGGTATGAAGACAAATGCTCAATGACTCCAAGATCTTTCTTGAGTGGTAAAAGCTAATTTAGACCCCATTTATGTATATTTGGGATTATGTTTTCCAATATGTATTACTTTGTATGTAGGCAGATGAAATTCAATGTTGCATTTTGCTGCACAGAGATTTTGAGAGATTCCTTTGTAACCCTTTGGAGTCAGCTTTGGACTTAATGATCTTGAGTAATTTTGTATTGTCTGCAAACCTCACTGTTTATCGGTGATCTGGAAAAAGGGGTAAGCATGTTGAACAGCACTCATCCCAGTACAGATCCTGGGGGGCACCACTATTTACCTATTTCCATTCTCAAAACTGACCATTTATTCTTATCCCTTGTTTCCAGTCTTAACCAGTTGCTGATCCATGAGAGGACCTTCCCTGTTATCCCAGGACTCCTTACTTTAATTAAAGAGCCTTTGGGGAGGGTCCTTGTCAATGGCTCCCTCAAAGTCCAGGTACCCTATATGCAGTGCATCACCCTTGTCCACATTTGTTGATCCCTCAAAGAATTCTAATAAATTGGGGAGGCATGATTTCCCTTTGCAAAAAAGCAGTGTTGACACTTCCCCAGCAAATCAGAATTAGCAGACACAGATGAACATATTATGTACTATAGTTTCAACCAGCTGTCCTGGTACTGAAGTTAGGCTTACTGGCCTGTAATATCCAGTACCACCTCTAGAACCTTTTTAAAAAACGGACATCACATTATCTATCCTCCAGTCATCTGGTCCAGATTCGGATTTAAATGATAGGTTACAGACCAGAGTTAGTAATTCTGCAATTTCATATCAGAGTTCCTTCAGAACTCTTGGGTGAATACTACCTGGTCCTGGTGACCAGGGCAGTCCCTGGAGGGGGAAAGGGGCTGTAGGGCCCGGGCAGCCACCTCTCCAGCCCAGGCCCCACCCCCATTCCACCCCTTTCCGGTTTCCCCCGAGAGATGCCAGAGCCTCTAACCCCCTAGGCTGCCCTGGACCCTGCGTCCTGAAGCGTGGGGCAGTTGCCCCAGTCCATCCTATGGATGGGACAGCTCTTCTGGGGACTTACTGTTTAGTTTATCAAGTTTATTCCAAAACCTCCTCTAACGACAACTTAATCTGGGACCGTTCCTTGGATTTGTCACCTAAAATGACCAGCTCAGGTAAGGGAATCTCCCCCACTTCCTCTGCACTGAAGACCAAAGCAAAGAATTAATTTGGCTTCTCCACAATGTCCTTGTCTTCCTTGAGTGCTCCTTTAGCACCTCAAATCATCAAGTAGAACAATTATATGTTTGTGTTCTCAAAATTTCAGGTGAAAGTTCAAATGTTAGCGTTATGAGCAGAAAGCTTCTTTATAAAACCTAAATTTGAGACCAACTCTGTGGACAACACCTCTTTACATAATTCCTCATATTAGTTGGCAAGATGAAAATGAGAGAAAGAGAGAGAGATGGAACAACCCCATCCAGAGTGGATGAATTCTGTATTAACATGACAAGAGTTTAAGTCATCCATAAATGTTTAAGTATTTTAACTTAGTTGTTACTTACTCGATCCAGAAACGTGCCAGTCTTTACATTCCCTGATGGCAATATCATTGTCCAGACTTATTTTAATTCTTCCACTATGTGCTTTGTTATCAAACACTATCTGTGTGAAGAACAGTGAGATTTTGTATAAAATTACAGGTACTTACATAAAAAGTTTAGAAAGGTTATATATATATTTTCATAACAATGGCCCAAAATATTCTTAGGAGGAAAATTAGGATGCTTGGAAATAATTTCAAACTAAGATAATCTTCAAATTTATGTATGTAAATATGTAACAAAGGTAAAGTCTGATTGATTAGTTATTTGCTATAATTACTCGATTCTATTTGTTGGAATATAAATTAAGTCAATAATTTAAGTTACAATCCCATTCTAGTCTGAACTGCACATAACCATTCTTAGAAGGGTCTCTTTAGAGAGAAGAGAAAGTTGTTTTTTTTTTAAATATATTTGTAGTGTGCTCAAAGGTGGAGGTTTAATTTCTTATACTTGCTGTCTGGTAGCATTTAGGCTCTCCTGTTAAACCATTAACTATCAACAAAGGTTGGCAAAATGTCTTGTGGCTCCCACAACACCAACCTTCAACTATTTATAGGCTACTGTAAGCGATAGCAGCCCCCTCTACCCACTCTCAAGGATAACTGAGCTCTGGTGCCCAACCATGTTTAAATATATGGTAGGTATAGTACCCCCCCTATGAAGATATCAAAATATGCAATAAGAATTATTACTATGGTGAATACAAAATACATTGAAGTATCCACTTACTGTCAAAGTAAAGTCATAACAGTCCGGGAGTTCATGGTGACGAACTGTCTGGAGATTGACTGCTTTCAGTTTAAAGGTAAGCTGTACTGTTACAAGTCTGGAAGGCAATTTTGAATTAACTTTTCATAGTACTAGAATCTCTCTCTCTCTCACACACACACACACACTCCACCTCACCTATGGAAGTCCAGAGTGAAATTGAACTCGTGCTTTCCCAGTGTTCTGTTTTCCAAGGGCATCATTGGCTCAACATAGAAACATTCTGCCATGAACAAAGAGGCACAAACACCACCAGGTGGATTCACTGTCAGTTTAATTTGTTTTAAACCACCAACCTCCCGTCAGTGGGCATAAGAGCTTTTGACTAAAGAAGTCAAAATAGCATACTCTCTCTCTCTCTCTCAATGGATCAGTCATTTTAGAGATCAGTTTGCAAGAGTATTGTCTTTCTTGCACTCCAACTCAATGCATTCTTGACTTAAGACATACTTAAAGAATTAACGTTAGTTATTTACTTCCTTACCTCACAGGGATGTTGTGATGGTAAATGCGTTAGTAAATGCATTAATAAATGCAAGAGGCTTCATAATATGGTGATGGATGCCATAGAAAAGCCTATAAATCAGTCAAAATACCAATAGCATTGGCTAAAGCTAGTGCCTACTTCCCTCAACATAAAGGGCATTAGCATCACAAGTAATTTTTTTAAAAAGTTACAAAGCTTTACGCATTTCACAAATGTTCGGTTACAGTAAAAAGTTTAGACAGACTAAATGATCACAAAATCCAGAACGGATTATGCTGGAAGAGAAACATTTGTAGATTCCATGACAGTTTAACACAACTATAAAATACTGATTAGGTTTGGGGAAAATTGAAAACAAAAACGTTTACTGAGTATAAATAATGAGTTCAGACAAGACATAAGGTAGGTGCGTCACCAGTTTCAATGTTGGGGTCGATATCAAAGGTGTCATTTCCAGGACAGATGCTGCCTCGCTTGTAGAACTGTTGACAGATTGCCATAGCTGTTTGTTCTGCTCCTCTCCTCTCATAAGCATGATTTCCAACAGATATGTGGCGCAGCTGTAAGTACTAAGTCGAAACAAGATCATCAAACTGAATTCGAGGTCATGCCTAGGCTGCTACATCTGAAAAAGCTAGTCAATATTCATTTGAATGTATACTATAACCATCTCATCGTTTAAACGGTCACCTAAATAATTCAGAAGGGCTACACCACACTCCTGAGCTGGACTTGTCCACTAATTTCAAGAGAGTTTTGCCTGGGCAGAGAGTTCAGGATTAGATCCTAAACAAGCAGCATTTTCTATTAAAGTTCTCTCTTTACAAGTCCCTAGGATGAGGCTAATTCATTATTTTTAAAGCACTTGGAAATCCTTGGATTAAAGCCATTAGACATGAAAAGTATATAATAAACCTTTGAGGCTGTTGCCTCTGAAGTCTTGACACTGGGGCATGAAGATCACTAGGACATAAGAAGTACCATCTTTTTCCAAATAGTCATTGAAGGTCTTCATCCATCAATCTGATTCAGGATTGGTTTTATCCCAGGCATATGGCAATATTGTAGTTTGTTGCTTAGTCAAAATGTACATAAAAATAAGCTATTTGGTTTGACAGTAGTATTTCATTTGATCCTGGATGGACAGTGGGCAGATCCTCTCATGTGATGTGGTGATGCTGTAAAAAGCAACCACACTAGCACATTCTGGCCAGAGACCTAGCATACCTGACTCTGGTATACAGCATACAGCATGTCAGGTTGTTCCCTCTTCACACACACTTTCTCCAGGTCTGTTCCTGCAACTCTAGGAAAATATTCTCTTTTTCTAAACCCTTTTGCTCTGTCTAAAGTTTTTCTATCTATGACCCTTATTACTGTAGTATCAGAGTGCCTCACAGGCTAACATATATACCCTCACACCCCCCTATGAGGTAGGATGGGGGAACAGAGGCAAACAGAGGCTTAAGTACTTGCCTAGGTCACACAGGAAGTCTGTGGCAGAGCAGAGAGTTGAACTTGTCTCCCAAGTCCTACACTAGCACCCCAACTTTTCTAGTCAGACAGCACCATGATAAGTTGTCCTCTTGAATTTTAAAATTGCAATCTTGTAAGATATTGAAGAAATAGGATTGTATCCCTCAAACAATTGCCCAGAAGTTTGGAATGAGAGAATTGTTGTTCTTCAGCAGCTAAGGGCTAGATTCACAAAAGGACTTAGGCACCTAAAATCTCAGAATCAGGCCTCACTGGGATTCACAGAACCCCCGTTCAGCTGCTTTAGGTGCCTAAAGTTACAAGGCATCTAAAAATTTGCAGTAAAGGTTCTCTCTGCACCTACATTTCTCTGTGCTCACACACTGCAGCCCCTTGCAAGACTTCTGGATGTGTAAGCCCCAGAGCAATGCATAAACCAGGAAACACAGGCCATCCTACAAATTCACCTGTGGGGCTCAATCCAGAAAGTGCCTTCAGAGCTCACCTACCAGATTGGACCCCTATAGGTTAACTTACACTAGACGACCTACCTTATAACTTTTAGCCCAGTGGCTCAAGTACTCACTTGCAACGTGGGAGACCCCCAAGTTCCCTTTCACTTGAGGGGGAGAAGGGATTTGAACAGGGATCTGCCACCTCTCAGATGAGGGCCCTAATCACTGGGCTACAGCCTATAGGATATTCTGATGTAGGGCTCCCTCAGTCTCTCCTGTTGAGCTGTATTAGTTTGGATCAGTGGTCACCAACCAGTTGATCGCGATCAACTGGTTGATCGTGGAGCCTCTGGCAGTCAATCTCAGTCAGTCACTGAGATGTAGACCATCAGAGACTCCACAATTGACCAGTCAATTGTGATAGGGTTGCAAACCCTCCTGCAGACAAACGGAGTTCGGCCACTAACAGTTCGGTGGCACAGTGGGGCTAAGGCACAAAGGCGGGTGCCGACTCTGTGGATGCTGCGGGGCTGGAGCACCCACGGGGAAAAATTAGTGGGTGCTCGGCACCTATCAGCAGCCAAGCTCCCCCTGCCCCCACCTCCTCCCCCCCTTCCCAAGCACACTGCATTCCCGCTACTCCCCCTCCCTCCCAGTGCTTCCCACCCACCACCGAACAGCTATTTGGCAGCACTTAGGACTTTCCGGGAGGGAAGGGGAGGAGCGGGGATGCTGCGCACTTATGGAAGAAGGTGGAGAAAAGGCAGGGGAGGGGCAGGGACTTGGGATGGAATGGGCAGGGAGGAAGCGGGGCTGGGAAAAGGCAGGCCTGGGACTTTGGGGAACGGGGTGGAATTGGGCCAGGGGAGGGCACTGCGGGGGGGCGGGGTCGAGCGCCCACAGGGCAGAGGGGAAGTCAGCGCTTATGCTAAGGCAAGCTCCCTACCTGCCCTATCCCCGCGCCACTCCTGGAAGTGGCTGCCATGTCTGGCAGCGGCTCCTGGGGGCGGGAGGGGGAAGAAGAGGGGCAGGTGGCTCCACGCAGTGCCCCCACATGCAGGCACCACCCCTGCACCTCCTGTTCCTGGCCAATTGGAGCTGTGGGGGTAGTGCCTGCAGACAGGGGCAGCGTGCAAAGCCACCTGCCCCACCCTCCCCCCCAGGAGCCACTGCCGGACATGGCGACCGCTTCCAGGAACGGTGCGGGGCCAGGGCAGTCAGGTTGCCCGTTGGAGCCGCACTGCACCGCCACCCAAGATAAGCGGGGCCCAGTGGGAGCCCATACACCAAAACCCTCCTGCACCTCAACCCCCAGCCACAGCCCTGAGCCCCCCTGCACCCAAACTCCCTCCAAGAGCCTGCACCCCCTGCTACACCCCAGCCCCCCCTGCCCCAGGCTCAGGCCAGAGCTCCTCCCACACTCTGAACCCCTTGGCCCCAGCTCAGAGCCTGCACCTCCTCCCACAACCCAACCCCCTGTCCCAACCTGGTGAAAATGAGTGAGGGTGGGGGAAAGCAAGCAGCATGGGGGGGGGGGAGATGGTGTGAGTGGGGTAGGGGTTGTTTGGGTTTGTGTGTTTACAGTTATTTCTGCCTTTTCTTTGGCGGTAGATCCTGGGTTGCACTTAAATTTAAAAAAAAAAAAAAAAAAGATCTTTTGCTTAAAAAGGTTGGAGACCACTGGTTTGGATACATAATCATTGGTGGGAGGAGAAGGAAGGAAGGAGAGAGAGAGAATAATGATTGTGCAGCCTTGTGGTCAGTGCATTCACCTAAGGAGTGGGAGACCTGGAGTTAATTCCCCTGCTCCAGTGACTTTTTAAAATTAGTTTACCCATCATGGAAAAGCCCCACATCAGAATATGCATAGCTCAGTAGTTAGAGCAGTCACCTGAGATGACATCCCTGCTCAAATCCTCTCCCCGCCCCTTCAGGTGGAGTGGGGGCTTGAACTAAGTGTCTCCCACATCTCAGGTGAGTACCCTAATCACTGGACTAGAAGTTGAGGCAGCTGGTCCTGTTCCTTCTCCTCTACCAGCCCCCATCCCCTTGCCAAAACGGTATAGGCACTTAACACCAAGAGATGGTTTGCAGCTGTAAACCCCAAGCAAATGGAGGTATCTCCATGCAGCCCAGATTTTGGCACCTATTGCCAAGAGAGGGGCAGGGCTCAGCACATGCCTAGCAGCTTGGCACCTCCCGTTGGCTACTTTAGGCCAGGAGCCTCCTGGCACACTGGCTTTTTGTGACTCCCATTCTGAGACACCTATCACCCTCCATTCATGGTATAGGGATCCTAGGTGCCTAACCCAGGCTTTATGAATCTGAGTGATTTTCTAAGAATAAGAGATAGGTGTGGTGGTGCTCTGCATGACCATGCTTAAATTTCTTTGTGACTCTAACCCCAAGTGTGTACACAGAAAAACCTTGCACTAGGTAATCCTGATCCACCTCCTGACACTACCATGTATTCTATACTTTTAACCATAAGTCTCTAAAACATCAAGCTGACTATCAGAAAGTCTTAATATTTGTTTAAATTGAAAAGCCTGATCATGTTTGTTCATCCAGCATAGGAACTGGATTAGATCTTGTTCTTTAGACCTACAGAAATGGTTGGCCCCAGGTTAGTTACAGATACTATATCACAGAGTGAAATAGAATTGGAGTGAAATATTTATGTAGTAATAAGTAAGAATTGGAAGACCAGGGCAAAAAAAGATAGTTACTGTAATATTTGCTCTTGCACAGCATGGTCAAATATAAATTAAATCCATAATACTGAAACTTCAGAGTAGACAGACATTGGGACCAATACCCTGTTTTCTCTTCTCCCCCCCCCCCCCCCAGCACTTGTGGTAGTTCCCTTTTGAGATGGCGAGGGACCCATCCTGAGAGCGTTTTACAGGTGCGATTTTTCACCTTTAAAATGAATTGCAGGTGCAATTCAGAGTATTTGTGTTGATATATCCCCATTTAGCACCACCATAGTGAAGTATTTAGAGAGACAAGTACACATGTCTGGGCCCATAATTCACTTCTTGGTGCCAAAACGCAAGCACATTGAATGTGATAAAGGGGAACCTCCCCTTTGAAAGGTGGTCCATTCTGTCTAGTTATCCCAAAGGGCAACTGTGCCAGAAAAGGTTTAGTGATGAACATTCCTTGTAGCATTTAAATGTGATAAAAAAAAAACTATAGTCAAACGTAAATTGTTGACTCTGTTAGGGAAGCGATAGGTCTATTTGCTTAGTATTTGGAAAACAAGTGGAGGCTCTCAGCCAGTGAGAAATAGAGCCAGAGAGTTACCTCCAGTGATCGGAGAACATAGCCACTCTCTTCCCCAGCCCACTGCTCCATTTATTTTAAAGATTGCTTTTCCTCTAGTCTCCACAGGGCAATAGTTATTTGAATCCCCATCATCCTTTGTTCATCCCAGAAAAATCTTAAGAGACCTGCTACCAAAACTCAGCTTCTCTCTACATATATCCCCATATTGTTTGCTTTGTAGATGGCTGGATAAGACTCCCCAAAGAATGAGCCAACATTCATTCAGATGGGGTGCAGTTGAGTGACAAACTCCCTTCCCCCAGACTGAGTTTACCACTTCTCCCAGTACTCATACTCCGCTCAGCAAGCCAGAGACTAGTCATGAAATTCAACTCTGGTTTCCTCTGTGATACTGAGGAGAGACTAATTTTAAATTGAGGATGTCTCCTTCATACCCATTTTAATTCAACTTCAGCATGAAATCATTCCCTAACCTGAAGAAAGTCAGCTGTGAGAGAGATCAGGTCATCTTAACACTGCCTATAGACTAATGGATTTAGTTGAATTTACAACTAAGGACAGTAGTATCACTATATAGTACATAATCTACCATACAATTCTAAAGTGGCACACTCCAGTTATGACTCTACATTTGTAGAATATCAGTACTAGCTGCACTAGGTAACTGACCAATCCTATATCATTGTTCATAAAAAGTGCAAGATTTGGCAATAATGCAGAGTCATGACAGACTATTTAAAAAAAATCTACTACTATTTGACTTTGTAAAATTACTAGAAACTGTTAACTGTGGAGTTATTAACATAACTTAAGGGTACAAGTCTCTGTTCACTGACACTCTGCCCTCTTAATTTAGAAAAGATCAACATTCTCTTCTCTGGGAGTGTGGGAAAGGGAGAATTGAGAGAAGTTTGGAAATGGGAAATTCTTCCAGCTTTTAGCTCAATTTTTTTTTCCAAAGAGACCAGTTTTATTTCAGTCTCAACTCTTTTTCTGGGACACCAGCTTTAGATATTTTGCAGTTTTGTGAGATCACTTGATGTAAGTTACATTTTACAGGTTGTTTCCTACGCCTTTTATGTACTAGGCATATTGCAATGGAAACTTTTACCTGGTTTATTGCAAAGAAGATCTGGTCATAGACATCTGTTTGTGTGTATACAGCATAGGTATCATCCATTCTCTCTGTATATCCTTTCAAGAAGAGGTGCTTGAATGCCACAGTGTTCTCCTCCTTGAAGGTAACGACCATTTGATTGCTTAACCCAAAAACTACTAACTGGGGAAAAAAAAAAAAAAAAAACGTTTGGAACTGCAAAGAAAAATTGGCTTTTAAAGACTTACAGTACAGTTACCCTCCCTCTTCTGCACAGAAACCTCCTCTGGACAGCCATGGCTGGATTAGACTATTACTAGAAATGGACCTCACACTGCCAGCTGGTTTTTTTGTTTTTGTTTTTTTTGGGGGGGGGGGGGGGGAGGGAGAGAAAGAAGGAGGGGGAACATGTTGGAAATTCAAACTGCTCTCTAAAGAATACATAGCCTAGAAGATCATTCCTTCAGCATAGGTACAATCGCCTCCTCTGTTTGGAAAAAGTCATTTCCCAGCCAGAGAGAGGCAGGTCTAACAGCTTTTTTTTTTTTTTTTTTTTTTTTAAAAGGAAAAATATAAAAAATAAAAATAAAGTGCCATCCCATCTCCTATCCAAGCTACAAATGACTCACTACACATGTTTTGATAGTCATAGTCTGAGGTTATTTTGAAAAGCAAGAAATACCAGAGTGACAGCTCAGAAACAGCTACAAGGTATAACCAGATCGAGCTTTCAAGCGAGGGAAAGAAAAAAAAAGTTACCCTGGGATGACACAGAAAAGGAAATGTAGTTGTCTAACCTCTTGCACTCATATAAAACTGCATTAGCACAGCATTCTGCAATTACACAAGCAGTTTTTAAAGAGACATTAGAAGTGAATTAACTGTTCATTAAAAGGTTTTGATTGGATAGCACAAGATCCTGTTGACAAGTATTAGATATTAGACAAAGGTTTCTAACCATCAGAGGAGTGAAGTTCTGGAACAGCCTTCCAAGGGAAGCAGTGGGGGCAAAAGACATATCTGGCTTCCAGACTAAACTTGATAAGTTTATGGGATAGCCTAATTTTGGCAATTAATTGATCTTCAACTATTAGCGGTAGATATGCCCAATGTCCTGTGATGGGATGTTAGATGGGGGCGGCGGGAGGAGAGAGAATCTGAGTTACTACTACAGATAATTCTTTCCTGGATGGCTGGTTGGCGAGTCTTGCCCACATGCTCAGGGTTTACCTAATCACCATATTTGGGGTCGGGAAGGAATTTTCCTCCAGGGCAGATTGGCAGAGGCCCTGGGGGTTTTTTGCCTTCCTCTGCAGCACAGGGCACGGGTCACTTGCTGGGGGATTCTTTGCACCTCAAAGTCTTTAAACAACTATTTGAGAACTTCAGTAGCTCAGACATAGGTTAGGTTTCAGAGTAACAGCCGTGTTAGTCTATTCGCAAAAAGAAAAGGAGTACTTGTGGCACCTTAGAGACTAGCCAATTTATTTGAGCATAAGCTTTCGTGAGCTACAGCTCACTTCATCGGATGCATACTGTGGAAACTATAGAAGATCTTTTTATACACACAAAGCATGAAAAAATGGGTGTTTTACCACTACAAAAGGTTTTCTCTCCCCCCACCCCACTCTCCTGCTGGTAGATAAGCTATTACCAGCAGGAGAGTGGGGTGGGGGGAGAGAAAACCTTTTGTAGTGGTAAAACACCCATTTTTTCATGCTTTGTGTGTATAAAAAGATCTTCTATAGTTTCCACAGTATGCATCCGATGAAGTGAGCTGTAGCTCACGAAAGCTTATGCTCAAATAAATTGGCTAGTCTCTAAGGTGCCACAAGTACTCCTTTTCTTTTTGAGACATAGGTTAGAGATTTGTTACAGGAGTGGGTGGGTGTGATTCTGTGACCTGCGTTGTGCAGGAGATCAGACTAGACAATCATAATGGTCCCTTCTGACCTTAAAGTCTATGAGTCTATGATTATCCTGGGGAGGAAGAGACTTGTAGAAGAGTTTTATGTAGGCTTAACAGGAGCCCAGTATTCCCTTTAGTGGTTTTACTGCCAATTAATAAAGGGACAAGACACTTCCAGGAAATAAAACAGACAGTCACTGGGCTAAAGGAGGGTTTTGCAGCCCTGCTGTTCCCTGGAAGTGAAATTTCTACATAAGGAGAACTAGATTACCAGTAATTCTGGCATTTAAGAGTCCATCTTCTCCATACACAGTATCGCCCTAGGACTACACATGTAAAAAACACGCTAGTGAGAAGACTATAAAGATTTCAAGTTATTCATGGAGGGCATGTTTCCCCTGGAAACAGTGGCTCAACAGTTTACTTCCAGTTTAGGTCCTCCCATTCCCAATTTCTAGCTACTACAAGAGGAAGACAATCCACGTAACACATACAAGTAAAAGTAATATTAAAAAAATATATAAAGTAGAGCATATATGCACATAGAGCCCACCAGGTTTTCATCAAGGAAACTATGATTCCTGGAATTCTCTCTTGCAGCCTGTGGGACCATTGTCCTCCACACTCATGCTTTCACAGCAGAAAGTCACTAGGTTCTGCACTCCATAAGCAGAAATTATGGAAAATCTTTGAAGATAGGAGAAAAATTAGCACATAAGCTTTCTCCCCAACAAGAGGAGAGAGAGGCAGATAATGACATTTTAGTCAACATAGGTTTGGTCTAGCAAACTAAACTTTAAAGTTGGAAAAAAATGAGAGAGTACTTAAAATTCTACTCTGACATACCTAAATGTGTTTAAAAACAAAAAACCCCAGGATTTGCATACCTCATTCAAAACTCATAGTGAACATACCATGCAACATCTACCATATTTCCAAGGCTTCCAAAGTTGCTTATTAAGAGAAGCCTGAGTTGGTACTGTTAGGTTGTGCCACAGCAAGTAGAACATTGATCAGTTGCCTTCCTCCTACCTTGTATCCCTGGAGTGAAAAGAAAGCCCCAGCTCCCAAAGCAACTCACCTGGATGGTAACCATCACTATTTTTAGAAGCTGAATCCCAAGTTTCCAAGGTTTTCTGCCCCGCGCCCAAAATTTCTCACATGGGTTCATGAAAAAAAATTTAAGTTTCCTTCTAAGCTGGTCTTCCAAAAGCAGCTCTTGTGAAACAGATGGGTGTTGTTTGTAGCTGTAAAGATTATCATCATCATGGGAGCTGCAGCTGCTTACAACCACATCAGCATTTTCCATTTCTGGAATGGAAAGTCAATTGGAAAAACATGCAGGCATAAGTACAGTAAACAGCAGATCACTTTTGTTACACACAATGAACACTCAAGATTTTAGTCTACCAATTACAAGTAGGTTCAAGATATTTGCACGCTACATTGCGCAAATAGCAAGACATATATTGCATGTATTATTTAGAATTACAGCAATATCTAGGCTCTATTAATAAAGTTTTGAGAAGCCATTGAATTTGGAGATTAAAATATCAGGACCATGATTTACAAGTGATATTTTTGTCCCTTTGGATTACTGAACTGATTGCCAAAAAGCTCTATTCTTCACCCACCAAAACCACAAATATGAGAAGTTTTAGACACAGAGGGAAATAAATCAGAAGGACATTTAGTATGTCAACATCAGCTTTTAAGGTTACTTGTTATCTACCCCTACATCTCCAAGCCTGCTGTCTAAAAAGAAGAACCAGGCCAAAGGCAAGGACTAATTCTTTCACGTTTAAATGACCTATAGCATTTTCAAGTGTCAATTCTCCTTTTCACAATACAGATAACTTAGAGGCAACAACTGCCATTGACTTAAATGGGAATGATGCATAGGAACAGGGAGCAGGACTAGCTAGTCAGTACTACAATGCCCAGAGACACAAGAAGCAAATAGAGTTAAAATTCTGACGTAGCTTTGGATCGCTTTGTATAGCGTTAACTCAACTTCCGTTTCTTTTTAATGAAGTATTATGAAAAGAAAAAACAGTCAGACACAGTATTTAAATAGTACCAACTTTTTCATTCTTTGTACTTGAAAACTTTTAAGAGCAAAGTCCATAGTCCGATCTGCAATAATCTATGCCAAGTATTTTTATCCCAAGTCACCAACAAGGTAGTCTTACAATAGATGACTGAAAGTGCCAACACTTTCAGCACTTACAGGCTAAAAAAAAAGCCCTTACAGGCTAAAAAAAAGTTATAGCCATGAAGAGTTGTAAGGAAAGTAACAATTAGGAAATATTGTAGGGTTTTAGGCACAGTTTCAACAGCACCAACACTATTACCACAGAAACAGCTTTACACACTTAGCAAGAACCTTTCTTTAAAGCAAAAACAAAACAAAATAAAAAAAATCTATTTGCAGATAATTTTAAGGAATCACTCACTTATAAGGAAAAAGAAAAGGCGTACTTATGGCACCTTAGAGACTAACCAATTTATTTGTGCATAAGCTTTCCATGCATCGGATGAAGTGAGCTGTAGCTCACAAGAGCTTATGCTCAAATAAATTGGTTAGTCTCTAAGGTGCCACAAATACTCCTTTTCTTTTTGCGAATACAGACTAGCACATGTATCCTCTACTCTAAAACCTGTCACTTATAAGGATGGTCTTTGGTATCCATGTTTAAAATAGTTAAACATTTAAAGTTAACAACTGATGTTTTCCAAAGCTTCAAAGTGTTGCAGCCTGGCACTCTAAAGAGGCTATAAAATGTCATGGATACATGAAGGGAGGAAATTGTTCCCCAATCTCCGCATCCTAAAGGTAGCTTCACAGAGCCTTTCCCTGCAGAGTTTTCCCCAACCTTCTGGGATGAGAGACGCCAAAGGGGGTCTGCGCACAAACTGACCTTTTGGAGGGTAACAATAGAAAAACTGCATTTCGCAGTCTGCTCCCGTGCCTGTCTCCTCCATGACCGCTTAGCTATTTCCCCAGGGCAGAGACTGATATATTTACTTATTTAACAGTAGCCCTGACACATTACTTATATAACCTGCCCCTCGGCAAACTACTCAGGGCGATCTTGTTAGCATCGCTGCAAAGTGCAAGGACACCTGATGCCAATAGCCCGTGCGCGCCAGCCCACGTACCTACAGCAGCCAGCCGGGAAGGTGCAAATTGCTCTGAGGAGAAGGCGCCAGTTGGGAGCTGGTTTCACAGCCGCACAGGCACCTCTCCTGGCCTGTGGCCGACGGGGACCAGCGAAGCGAGGGAGCGCCGGTGTCTGCCGGCAGCGGGGCCCAGGACCTCACCTCAGGGACTAGCTGATACAGCAGCAGCACGTGACTGCCACTCGGCTCCTCCGGCAGCCTCCTCCCACTGGCAGCCTGGTCCGAGTCCTCCCCGCTTCGGCATTTTCCCTCTCCTCCTCTGCATCAGACCCCATCCCCCAGCCACCAGACAGTCGTCCGAAAAACGACGGTGTGACGATCCGAGCCACAGGCCAAGTTGCCGCAGCACTTACACTCATCTTCCTTACCTGTCACTTTAGAAGAGGAGGAGCCTGTTTTAATCCTTCTTGCTCTTCTCGCTCTGGCCCAAAACCGCTATGCACCCATCTCTTGGTTAGTGCACGAGGACACTGGGTTGACATACAAATCATACATTGAAAACATACATGTGGAAAAATTGGAAAGAGTCCAGCGGAGGGCAACAAAAATGATTAGGGGTCTGGAGCACATGACTTATGAGGAGAGGCTGAGGGAACTGGGATTGTTTAGTCCGCGGAAGGGAAGAATGAGGGGGGATTTGATAGCTGCTTTCAACTACCTGAAAGGGGGTTCCAAAGAAGGATGGATCTAGACTATTCTCAGTGGTAGCGGATGACAGGACAAGGAGTAATGGTCTCAAGTTGCAGTGGGGGAGATTTAGGTTGGATATCAGGAAAAACTTTTTCACTAGGAGGGTGGTGAAACACTGGAATGTGTTACCTAGGGAGGTGGTAGAATCTCCTTCCCTAGAAGTTTTTAAGGTCAGGCTTGACAAAGCCCTGACTGGGATGATTTAGTCGGGGATGGGTCCTGCTTTGAGCAGGGGGTTGGACTAGATGGCCTCCTGAGGTCCCTTCCAACCCTGATATTCTATGATTCTAAAACAAATCTGTTTCCGTGCTTGCATTACCAATAGCATCCAGGAAGTCAACATGGAAAAATCTAAATAAACACCTGTTTTACTTGTCATTATTATGCTGTTTACTTTTTGCATGTTGTTCAGCTTGGACTCTCAGAATCAGTGAAGTCCTTGTCATTTTTATCATTCGTTTCCCTGTTAGATTCTCAGTAGGGTAATGTTTGGGTTGCAAACAATGCAGGGGGATGTTTATTTTTATAAAATTTGCATTGGAATTGGATATTATTCACCCACTATAATTTTAAATAAAATTGAATGTTTCTATTGATGTAGCTTGTTTTTATACAACTTAAATTTGGGGCCAAATTTGAATTGAAGTGTTATTTTTAATATGCTTTGCACAAAAAATAATGTTTAATATAGTAATTATTTTATTGTTCATGCTGTAGTAGAACACAGGCAATGTGGGTTGTTTTCTTGATATTGCCACTAAATTCTTCTTTGACTTTGGATAAGTCACTTGCCCTCTTTGTGTTCTAGTTTCCTCAGCTGAAAACAGGACTAATAATCCTGGTCTATCTCACATAGGTATTGTGAGGATTAATTTTCTACTGGTTGTAAAGTGCTTTGAAATTGTTGGAAGAAAGGCCTTATACCAAGTGATGAACTTTTGATATATATACTATTTATATACTGTTTCTTGAAATGTAATGTCACAGCCAGACTGTTATATAAGATGTTTTGGAATATTATGTATGTACTGTAATACTAGTTCTGTGTCTGGATTTTTTTTTTTTTCAGTATTCCTGATTTGGAAGAAAGAATACACTGTGCTGTAATTAGTTGCATCTGGATCTTTAATAAAATCTTCATCTTCCAGTAACAAAATCATAATTACAAAGAGCAGTCTGCGGGGGGAGGGTTGAGCTATGCTGAATGACTTCCATTGACTATAGTTCTACACAGGCAGTCATAATAAACATCAAATATAATTAACCTATTAAAGTTATTAGCTGGACTTCAAAGAGACAATAAGACTCTTTCCTGAGGATCAGTCACTCCCGAACTAGGATACAAAAGATGGCTTTGGTACAGCTGCCTAAGGTGAGGGTAGTTTCATGAAAGATAGAAACTGCCCTAGGAATGTGTGATTAGTACTGATCTACCTGCTGACCCCTTGCCCAGCCTGTGGCAGACTCAGCAGTGGCAAAAGAAATCTTTTCCTTTATAATTTCGGGGGGGGGACGACTGTGAGAGTCAGAGACAGTATCAGCAGATTTAAAAGAGATTAGGACCCTCCTGATTGTGTGGAAAGGAACAGAAGAAAGTGGCACTCATGTCCCCTAGGTTGTCATTATTATTGTACAGCAGTAGCATTTAAAAGGCTCAGTCAAGGGCTCCATTGAGCTAGATGCTGTACACAGAACAAAAAGATGAACCTTTAGCCCCAAAGAGCTTACAATCAAGTAAGGCAATCTAAATGATTCTCATGCTTCGCCTAAAATCTGTAAGACCGGCACTGAAGGAGGGAGATTTACAAACAAAACCAAAACACCTAAATTCCCACCCCTATCTGAAGAGACTCACAACAGCCTTAGAATGACCCCAAATCAAGGAGAACCCCGAAACAAGGGGGACTTTCAATTTCAGGGCCTGGAAGGGGGGGATGGAATTGGGACATGAGCCGCCTGTGTGTGGGGGCAGGGTGGCAGCTTTAGCAACCGAGGGGGAATCTTGACACAGGTGCAGATGCTGTGTCGGAAGAGCTAGCACAAAAGCAAAGGTCTTCCAGCAGCAGCTTGTGGTTAAGGCTTGTGGAGGGGAGAGGTGTGTGTGAAGTGTCTCCCTCTCTATGGATAAGCCTTGGGGCAGCAGGTCTGTTCCCCCTGCCTTCACCTTAAAAACAGATTGCAGGGATCTGATAGCCATCCTCCTGCTCGCAGCCAGGTGTCTATAGCCCGCGCAGGCCGCTCCTTTGCTGCACTGAACAGCCAGACGAGCCCACAATGCGCCCAGAACAGACTCTTTCTTCGTCCTCCCCAGTGAGGAGACCGCAATCCCCAGCATGCATTGCTCACCGTCTCACGCCGGTGGCTACGAGAATGGCAGCGTATAGCATGCTGGGAATTGTAGTCTTCTCGGTGTCGCCTTTAGAACAGAATTCGTCTGTCTCAGCCAATCGCGGCTCCCCTTGCAGGAGGCGGGTTGAATTCGAAGGCGCGTATTGCCTGATAGAATTGTCAGTCCTGCTTGTCATTCGGCCCTAGCAACCGAAGCATCCTAACGACGCCTGCAGCGTGGCCTGAGGCCCTCTTCGCCCAGACCCCAGAGTGGACCCCTGAGCCTGCAGGCAGGTAAGCGGGGCCGGGGGCAGAGAGGGGTTCTGGGCGTGGAGGTCTCAGCCGAGCGCAGGGTAAGCATCTGGCAGCCCGGGGGCATAAACCCCCACAGAGGGGTAATCACAGGGGCAGGGTGACCCCCCCATCCCGATTCAATGAGAGCCACCTGGCCTCCCACCCTCAGCCGCTCGCCCTCCAAAATACTCACCCCTTGGGTATGCAGCCCGCAGCCCCAGGAGGGTGCAGGAGAAAGGGGAGGGGAAGGGGAGCAAGGGGCTTAGAAATGGTGCGGAGTGATTGGGATGGCAAGAGAAAGCAGTGAAGCCAAAAAGGAAGCAGAAGAAGAAAGGCCAAATCAGCAAAGAAAACCTCTTTGAGAGAGATGGGGGCGGGGAGAGAAGATTGTAATTGTCATCTAAAATGAGTGACAAAATATGGCCTAAGGAAAAACATAAACACTGTACAAGAGGGCAGAAAAGAAGCATCAGGATAAAGAGGAGAAAGGAAAAGGTGGTACTAGGAAGCTTGCTTTGGGCAATATTTTGAACCTGTGATTTAATCTAATTTTGGTGGTTTCTAGCAACAAACACCACAATGTGAAAATGGTCCTGACCATGGGACCAGACCTCCATTTGGACACTATAAAATTTATAACATGGGTCTGTTATACAGATCACCCTCATTTTCTTTTTGAAAAATTGCAGGCAGATTCCCAGTGTTCAGGGCAGACTCCACTTAGGGCAAAAATGCACAGTCCACACTTACCAAGATGAACATGCTGGTACCTGTAGATTTCCATGAGCATCTCTGTTCAGAATAAAATGGAGTATTGCATGCCACGGTCTGTAGTCTTAGCAAAGACAGCACCTACAAGGTGGCTGAAAATTTGATCAAAATGGAGCGTAGCATGCTGAAACCTGTAGTCGGGATTCTTTGTGTTGTCTGGAATTTATCTTGGAATCCACACTGTGCTGCAGAATTGTGCTCTAGAATCTAAGGTTTTATTTTTAAAATATTATGTTTCTAGTCCCGGTGGTTGCAAAAAAAAAGCTTGAAAATGTTAATCTGATGTAAGATGATGCATTGCAGTCTTCCTGAGTCTACAGTCACCCAGAAACTATAACTCAGAGATGTGTACACTGCTCCCTGCTTCCAGTGAGATGATTGAGACCTAAATATGGCATTTTAAATGTCAACATTTTTACATTGCTCATAATTTTAGCAGAAACATCTAACTGATGTTCCACAGTCTCTAACTGCCTCCTTGTGTCCCCTCAGGTGGCAAAACCCATCGAGCCCCTAATGAGGCCCTAATTCAGGAAAGCATTTAAGCATATGTTTGACTGGTGTGGAACGACTCACATGCTCAGATGCTTGCTTGGATCAGGGCCTCAATTGCCAAAAATTCTAGCTTAATTCCAAACAACTTCTGTAATGCACTTATACGTTGTCAGATCATATATTTGGGGGCATATCGAAAACTGTGTACGGCAGATTACATAAAGTTAATCAAAATAAACAACACAAGGGCTTCTGAACAGATTTGATCATTCTTAGCTGTTACTGTTAACAATTGTAGCTTCTTTTTTTTTTTTTTTTTTCCAAACAGGAATGTGCTTTTTAAGTTGCCAGTGTCCCTTTAATTTAGATCTGGTGACACAGACAACAAAATAATAAAGTACGTTTTTGATAATTTGCTGGTACTGTTTTGTTCTGTAGATGTACATTTGATGATTCAGTATTTTTAAATTGTAATAAATCAGTTTCAATTTAGTAATACACACAGACATGACCTTAAATGGTTCAATTAGGCCACTAATTAATCTTTCTTCCTTCTCAGTTTAGACAGCATCCCTTTCATTGCTCATAACTAATCACCTTTCTCTTTCTGTGGCACCCGGCAACTTTGTGGATTTGTTTCATAATTCTACTTTTTTCGGTCCATTAAACAATTAGGAGAACATTCTGATCTTCATTTTTCTTCTGAGAGTCTAAGGACTGCACATTGGTTCCATGATGACAATTAATCTGTAAAATATCTAACACAAAGTTGTCAAACGATGTCTGCGTGGACATTACCAGTTAATATATGATCTTGTTCTGACAATTTGAGCTGAAAATTGACTCCTCATAGTTTATGAAAGATTGTAGATAGTTAAATCACATGTATCTGTGGACATAAACAGCCCATAGATAAAATATCTGGTTTATTTAATACCGGGATTTATACATTATATTATGTTTTCAATAATTATTCTTTGTATACATGTTTTGTACACTCTGCTGTTATTTTTCAAGTTTAGTGTTCAGGTATTTAGTTAATGAACAGCACTATGAAAATATTGCATTTGGGTATTTATATGTATATGTAATGGAGTCCTACTCTTATGCAGTATAAGAACTTAGAGAGAGCTCTCTGTGAGGATAGGAACTGAACATGGACAAAACATTTCTGCTTGACATTAAAAATTAAACTCTTGGCCTCTTCTGAAAAATTCACAGAGCAAGATTCTTATTTGGATTGTAAGCTCCCCTGGGCAGGAGACATTTCTTTTTCTGTGTTTTGTACATTGTTGACCATACTGTCAGTGTTTAACAAAAAGTGACTAACAAAATGTTATTCAAGTAATAGTGGAAGTTGTACTATGGTTTGTGCTACATTTTTCTAAGAGAAGGTGAGACAGCATAGTCTAGTACAGGGGTGGCCAATCTATGGCTTAGGAGCCACATGTGGCTCTTCAGAAGTTAATATGTGGTTCCTTGTATAGGCACCAACTCCAGGGCTGGAGCAACAGGTGCCAGCTTTCCAATGTGCCGGAGGGTGTTCACTGCTCAACCCCTGGCTCTGCCACAGGCCCTGCCCCCACTCCACCCCTCACCCGCTCCCCTGAGCCTGCCGTGCCCTCGCTGCTCCCCCCAGAGCCTCCTGCATGCCACGAAACAGCTGATCGGGAGGTGCGGGAAGGGAGAGAGAGGCGCTGATCAGCGGGGCTGCCGGTGGATTGGAGGCGCTGGGAGTTGTGGGGAGAGGAACCGAAGGGGGGGCTGCTGACGTATTACTGTGGCTCTTTGGCAATGTACCTTGGTAAATTCTGGCTTCTTCTCAGGCTCAGGTTGGCCACCCCGGTCTAGTGGCTACTGTTCAGGAATGAGAATCAGGAGACCTCATTTTTAGTTCTTACTCTGTCACTGGCTCAACTCTGTGAGCTGAGGCAAGTCACTGAGGGCCAGATTTTCAAAAGTGTCCTCGAAGTTTGGGTGCCTTGCTTTTTTAGTTTTTTATCTAAGACACTACTGTATCTAAAGTTAGGAAACCAAATATGTAGGTGTCCAAAGCAGAGGCAAGTCCTGAAAATGTTAGCTTTAGCTTATACATTAAGGACCAATAGTTTACAGGAGATCCCAGCATAATACCAAAGTGAATGTTATAATATTTTAGAGACTTTGATTCATGTCAGCTACCCACAGGGGCTCATAAAGGTTAAGGCCTTGATTCTCCACTGCGCTGCACTTTGTACAGTCACATACCTCTGAGTAATATGTTGCTAAATCAAAATGGTAGCATTTTACATCCACTTTGCACCGATGTAAATGGTAGGGGCCTGGTTCAGTTTCCAGTGAAATCTATAGAAGTTTTGCTGTTGAATTCAGTAGGAATAAGATCAGGCCCTAATAGCGTCCTAACTACAGACAAATGCATACCTAGAGAATGAAAAATTTTGAGTCAGAACTGATGTATTGTTTGTGAGATTATAAAAGAAGGCTAATTAGATTTTTTTTTCTAACTATATTGTAATAAATGTATGTCCATCTTTCTCCTAGCTGGTACCTAAGCAGCCTCTGTGGGTTCCAGATTTGATCTCCATCACTCAACTCAGTTACATTTCACATTCCCACCCATCCCTGTAATCTTCCTGCCAACCCCTCAGATGTCTGTATGACCTCTCAGTTGTATAGAGGATAAAGGGGGAAGAATTAAGTAGACTGGAGAGATTTTTAAAATTTATTTTAAAGAGATTTGTTTGTAAACTCTTTTTCTCAGCACAGTAGCTTTAAAGTCAAACAAAAGAATGGAACACATGGATGTCTTATACACTAATATGCTTTGTAAATTACTTTCCTAAAAAGAGTCGTGATTAATCTCAGATATTTCAGTGTTTCCTCTATTCATATGACTTATGGTTTTGATTACTCACTAGAAACAAATCAAAATTTCCAATCCGGATTCATTTCAATATTGAATAAGGAAGTGGTGAAGTAATGTGACTGTACTAAATATTCAATGATTCATTTTGTCCTCCAATTAATTTTCAGAATTACTGTCTGCTTTGTGTTGGAAAACATTCTCTCTTTCATCCAGAGGCTTCAAGCTTCTGGCTCAAGTTAGAGCAGTGACAGGATCCCTTTGTAGGAACAGGACCACAGACGGTGCCAGTGGGCAACAGTTGTTTTAAATGTACAATGATATGGATCAGTAGTGACTTTCTGTGTACTTGCATTTGACAATCTTGCACCTTCCTTTATGATGTGCCATGTAGGATTTTTTTGTAGTACTGTGCTTGGAGGTTTTGACAACATTTTCTCTATCTTTTTAGCCCAATCTTTAGCATAATATGCCCATAAAGATAGATTGCCTTTCTTCTCGTCTTTTGGAGCAGCATACAATCATTCTAATTAGACAGTCCCAACACATTTTTAAAAACACAGAAGTTAATATGTGTCTCAGAACTGTAAGATAAGCACGTTACTCCCTGCAAAGTCTGGGTGCAAGAATATAGGCAGGCAAGAATCAATGAGTACATTATATGCACAACATAAATATATTTATAGAAAAGCAGTTGGAAAGTGAGTTTAGTTGTACATTAGCAATCTTCAGTAGAAATGGTTATGAACAAGTTTCATGATATCAAATTAAGATTGAGTAAACATACGGTAAAACCTTGAATCTTTTCACTTTAGAGTCATTCCATGTAAAATTAGTAAATATGTTTCTTCTCAGGTTGTGATTCAATTGC